TGTGGCTGTGATGAGTGGTCCATAAGAGGTATACAGTCGGTGGACGGCGCCGTATAATTGCATAACACGTTTGCAATTGTTTTCTTTGAATGAGTCACGAGAGTTTGGTGTAGCAAAATTTATGTCGGTAAATAAAACAGTGTGAGCTGAAATATGTTAATTGCTCACATAAATTAGGAAAATATAATTAACAATAATTTTCTTTATTTTTTTAATATATTCTTAAAACTTTAAAAGGTTGATATTTTAATTAACTGCATATTTTAAATTTGATTAAAATAGAATACATTTGGTTAATAAAAATTATATATTAAATAGTCACAGAATAAAAAACTGTGATATTATTTTAAAAAAAAAATAAAATTATAATTTGAAATAAAAGTAAAAAAGGAAGTAAATTTATTTTTAAGGGACGGGAAGAATATAATATATATCCTTCCTCCCTTGTTTTCTTCTCCTTCCTAAATAAGAAAATTTCTTTTTTCTTATTTTTCCTCTATTATTTGTCTTTTGGGCTCACCTTCGAGTGGGACATATAGGAGTGTAAATGAGTTGAGCCGATCTCTAATTTGTCAGGTTCGAAGTTTGACTCGATAGAATTTAGCTCGAGCTTAATTCGAATTCGACTAACTTTTTCAAACTCTTTTAGAGTCGAGCTCGAATAATTCACGAGCCAGCTTAGCTCATTAGACGCATATGCCCTTAGCGGACCTTTTTTATACTTCATCTCTTTCCTTTTTTTTCCCCTTACTATTACTATTTTATATCCATTTTGATTTCTATAATAATCCTTAATGGGCTTATGAACCTTTATGGGCTAATTTCATAAGCCCAATTCGAAATTAACATACAAATTTCATGTTTAATAGTATGTGATTAGTATTCCCAAAAAAAATCAAATTTTGTTGTTTACTACTATTTTCTAAGAAAATACAATTTTCCAAAAAAATATATATAATTTTTCAATTTCTCCATTTTATAAAAACAAAATTCCATTTTTTGAAGATTTAGATTTTATTAAGATCCCATTTCCATTTGTTTTTCCATTTTTTTCAAAATTTCTATTTAAACACAGTGGATTATGATAATTAAAAATATAACTTTCATTTTTCTTTAATCCACAAATGAATACCATGCATTAGTTGTTAATGCAAGAATAATAGATTGTCTTAAAATAATACGCTTACTATTATGTCTCATTTGTATTATTTTAACAAATTCTAATGTTCTGACGATAATGCTATAAAATAAATAAATAAATAAAAAATTAAAAAAAAAACCCTATTATTATTTTAAAATTGCATCTGATGAAACTTTCCAGTGTATTCAAAAGTATTGTTCATCACCAATGAAATTTCATCTTATAGATATTATGTCATTTGATTTTTAAATGAGTAATTCTTTAATTCTAAGAAAATTGAAACATGGTCTTTTCCACCAAATTCTTGATCAGCTAATTAACATTAATTTGCCTAATTAAAAATGGGCTTCTAATTGATTTTTGAGATAGAACAGAAAATCTCTCATTTTATTTATAATGGAAAATCACACAAATTACATTATGATAGCACAAAAAATTCTTCATAATATCTATAAGTAAAAATTTGAAAAAAGGAAATTATTAATAGAAAACTCAGCATTCAGCAAGCACAAAAACACCATTCATCTCCCTTTACAAGAAAGGGAAAATCAGTCTACAAATTTAATGCATGAAATTAATTATTTGTTAAAGGCAAAAAGAGATATTATCATAGAACAACATATAAAAACTATAGATATCGGCAAGGCGAACCCATTTCCGGTTTCCAAGGCCGTCGGAGCAACATCTTGTGCCATTATTCCTCCACAAGCATTATATAATAATACTGCCATTACCATCACAATGTGAGCAAGTAAAGCTCCAAATTGTGCCATAATTAGCTTTATGCGAAAGAGAGAGAGAGAGAGAGAGAGAGAGGCTTTTGAACAATATGTTTGTGTATCTTACTGTGAATTTATAGGGACTGAGGCCTTATTATGGTTATTTGAAATTGTTATTTGTGTTTTTTTTGGTAGATTTGGACAGTGGTTTTGAATATCAAATCAATTGGTCGGACCGATTAAATTAAAAATCAATTGGTTGATTTAAGTAGGTTTTAATCATTTTTATATCAAAAAAAAAAAAAAAAAAAAATCTTTACTTGTAGATTGTTTATGAGGGACTGAGGCCTTTATTTATGGTTTATTTGCAATTATTGCTTTATTTTGTTTTTTTGGTTAGATATTTGGATCTCTCTCTCGAGTGGTATTTTGAATATATGCTAAATTCAATTTGGTTTGTACTCGTGTGATATAACCTTAAAAAATCAAGTTGTTATTTAAGTAGGTGTTTTCCAAAAATGGAGAAAAAAGGACAATTGTTGTTAAGTAGTAAGCGTAACTAGGAATGTTGAACCTCTTTGGTATTAATATTTCCTCTTGCTTAATATTGTTGTCTTACAACTTCAACGGACCTCGATTATCACCAAAGCTGCTAATAAAAAATTGTGATTTTTTTACAATTGTTATTATCTTTTTTCTTTATATTGAGTAGTGAGAGTTAGGAAACTTAGTTTTCGTTTCTTTATAATTGACCATATACTATTTGTACAATTGGTTGCTTTTGCTGGTATAGATTGCAGTTCCTTGTATCTATAATATTTTAATATTTTACTGATAAATTAGATAGTAAATTAGATAATGAATTATTGCCTATTTTTTTCGTATAAGATTATGAATTTCTAGTTTCAGATTGCAAAATTCTAAATAATTGTCTTTCAGTCTCGTTTCGGTTGATGTTTAGTATTTATCACTTTGTGTATAATGTATTTCATATGAGAATTCGTATTAGTGATGGTGATCCGAATTTTATAAAAAAAAAAAAAAAAAAAAAGACAATTGGATGACTAGAATTTGAACTTATAATTTTTTGGATAATATTTGTCTACACACGGACCTATACACCAAGCTAATAAAAATGATTTTTTTTAAAAAATGTTATTATTTTTTCTTTTTTTTAATGTATAATTAGAAATACTTTCGTTTAAATTACAATACTATTTGTAATTGGTTTGCTTTGCTGAATAAGCATGTCCATATATAATTTTTTATACTGTAAATTATGTAATTAGATAATGAATTAATTCCCAATTTTTTAAATTAATTGAATCTATATTTATCAATTTATTCAAAATTCAATAATGTTTCAGTTCGATTCGGTTTGATTTAATAAACCTTTTATAATTCATATATGAGAATGATTTATGGTGATCCGATTTATGCCTTCTCCCTTAAGGCATGTGGGAACCACAAAAGGAAAAATTGAAGATGCGTACTATTTCTTGACTAATAAGAGGGCAACGAAAATGATGGTACAGGTACTACTATGAATATAATTCTGACACGTGGATTTGTTGACTTTAATTTTAACGTGGCAATAGACAATTGGATATAGCACCTTTCTCCAGTGTTTTGTTTTCATTTTCGTTGTTTCGGCATTTCCAATTTTCCCATACCAGTTGCGAACTCGCTTTCGCCAGCTTATTCCTTCACAATTAAACCTAAATCGGAGACCAATATTCCTATCTACGTATGTTCATGACTTAAATATTTCTATACTAATAAAAAAAACTGTAAATTATAATTAATATAACAAAGATTAAATTTTATAATATTATTTTTTTACTCAACCGACTAGAATAGAATTGCCGACTAGACAATAAAAGAGAACCCACTCTTTATTTGACTCACTAAATTACTGAAAGAACTCGAGATCATTCACTCTTGATATTAATAAAAAGACCAATTAAATTATATCTAATTAATTTTATAATATTAATTTACATCATTTATATTTGCCATTTAAAATACAATGATGATCAAATAATTATTCGTGTGTTGGTGTGTGTATGTAATGTATAATGAATTGAGATTAATAAAGAAATCAAATATTAGCACCATGTGAATTAATTATCATTTCATATAAGTAACAACGAGAAATATTATTTATCATAAATATTCATTAAAATTTAATTAACTATAAAATGATAATTAATATTTAAAATTTTTATAAATTAAAAATAAAATGATTAGTAATTATTATAACTTTTTTGTAGATGAGTATTTAAAAACTTAAACCATGAGTTTAGTAATAATAATCTACCAACCAACCAATAAATTTGGACTAAAAAACAAATGATTTATAGTAATTAAGAGATAGAGAGTGGTGAGAATTGAAGTTTTACCTTTAATTTGTTGTGAAAAAGCAAATTATGAGAAAGGTTGGATTGATGTGTGATGATTATTTTAAGGTGGTATGTCAATGGGTGAGGTGGCAGGTCTGCTGTGATCCTATATTAGTAAGGAGAAGAGGGTCAATTTCTTGCTTTTTTTTTTTTTAATTTTAAAATTTAAATTGGGTAACATATGCAATACTAAGCATATCCTGAATCAGGGGTGGATCTACCCAATAGCTTAGGGCTTTTCAAATTTTTCAAAATTTAATTTTTTTTAATTTTATATATTTTTAAAAATATCCAAATTGACATTTTAAAAAATAAGTCTAAAACCAATTGGATTTATTTCCATATTAATAGGGTGAAATCAAATTAACCAAAAAATGAAAATAAACATTTAATCGTATTTTAAAATTTTATTATACTCTAATTCGAAAAATTTTAAAACTGCAAAAGCAGACTTTTTATTAGTACAAGAATTTATAATTTTAATTAAAGAGGATTTATATTTTATGAAAGTGCTAGCCAAATTTGAAAAAAAGATCATCATTTGATGATTGTCCAACCCTAATTTCAAATGCTTAAATTAAGGATTACATAATTGCATTTTTGAATGATTCATAACTAGCTAAGCTCGGCAACAAATTTTCCATCAATCATTTTTTCTAACTAACTTAACCGTTTTTTATTTATAGAATCTAAAAATAGCTATCAATTCTCCTTATAAATTCTTCTCGCCACCATATTATCCTTCAGGCCTGCAAAAAAAATTAAAAAAATAATAATAATAAAAAAAACAACTTCATTTCCAAGGCAGGTCTAGCAGGTATTTTTAATCATGGACATGAAGAAGATTTCCCTCGCCATCATCTTCGCTGCCGCCTACATGAGCGCAGTCATGGCTGCTGGCGCAGAAGGTCCTGCTGCTGCCGATGCAGAAGCTCCTGCCGCTGCTGGCGCAGAAGGTCCTGTCGGCGCTGCTGGCGCAGAAGGTCCTGCCGGCGCTGCTGGCCCATCACCTGGCGGAGCCGCTGCCGCCAGCGGAGCTGCCATGATCTCTCCAGTTATTGGGGCTTACCTTGTTTCCTTCTTTGCCTACTATCTACAGTAAGCTTATTCAAATGGAAGGAGAAGGGGAAGGATTTATATTTATATATTACATAAAATTAGAAAAGAAAAGAAAATTTTTTGCTTTAAAAACAGAATATGATTATTATTATTCTGTTTGATTTATTGGATTTTATTTTATGTTTTTCCTCTTAATTTGTTTATTGAATTATGTTCTGATAGATTAAATGACGATACATTTGCAATAAAGATATACACAAAAAAAAATTATTCTTATTATTGCTTTCTTTTTTCCATCTTGGCAGCAATAACATGAAAGATTCTCATTTTCTGAAAATAAATAAATGAATTAAAAATACTCCAACTGAGATGAAAAACAAAAGGAACAAAAAAATGAAGTAGGAGTTTATTTCAACTCAAAGGGCTCTCAGTGAGTTAAACAATCTGTAAAAGTATGTTTATAAGTTATATACCCTCCAATCCAACAACACTCTGAAAGAAACACTTCATGTCAACACAATTTACTAAATACATATTCTCACTGTAATAATAAATTAGTGGGAAATCACCTCAAGTTTAGGTTCCTCCATTAAATTTATGTTGTGCCATGAGACTTTTTGTCAACCATATTGCTGTTTCTCTAGATGACACCATTTCTTCCCCAAATGGCTTCAAAACACCGGCAAGCTCATCGATTTTGTCCTGTTTAAGTAGCCGTGCACATAACTCGAGCAAAGACTCTAAGGCATCAGCTCTTTGCTGACCAGGATTCTCCCATTCACTCTTGCTTTCGTCACCGGCCAACGCAGCAAGTGTATTAAGCAATGAAATGTCACTTGCTTTTGGTGCGTGATTCATCCTGTAAGCATCATCTTTCTCTGCTTGCATGGAGCAATTATTCTTATCGGGTTTTGCTTCAATTTCATCTTTACATGGAAGTATATCATTGCTTTCAGATGATAAGTAATCCATATGAGTGCCCTCTGTATACACATCGGGGCTTTCTGGTTTCTGTAAGCAGCATTCTGACTCTACAAAAGGTTTATTGTTAGATGGTGGTGAGCTTTTATCGTCATAGGAAGCATCTTTGTCAGTACTACTTAGATTAAGCATTCCTGATTTCCTGTTAACCGCATCTATCAAATTCTCTCCCTCAATTTGAGCTTCTTCAATAACTTTTTGGTCGCAAAAAGTTGGTTGATCCTTGGCAGTAATGACATTCAAATGCTCAGATGTTGGTTCTTCATGCTGAGAATTTGACGCACTCTTCGAGGTGAACTCAACTTCAATGCCATCCTTCTGAGGCAGACTACTAGAATCAGCTTGCTTGTCTCCATTGCAAACACTAGTTTCCGAATCAGTGGAACTGTCTTTCGGACCAGTCAGAGAATCTGATACTTCCACAATATAACTAGTAGGATCAACTCTCTTGGTCTCAAGGTTATCTTCCACACTAGATGTTGAAGCAGGGATGTCCATGTGAGGTTGATTGCTTGGTTGTGCAGCATCGTTTCTCTCAAATGGACAATCATTTTCTGGCTGGTTTGATGGTCCAACTTCCATGTCCCTGCTGTCTTTGCTACTACTAGATTTGCCAGACAACGATTTTCTTTTTGTTTTATCTTTTGAATTGTTGATAGGAAATACTGGAAGAAACACAGAAGACGCATTACGGCATTTAAGTAGATATGGTTGCAAATGAGGATGCCTCAACAATTCTGCAGCCTAAACATCGAAGGATACAGGTATTAAAAATAGATTATAGACTGTTGAAATTGACATATATAAACTGTAGGCCAGTCAAACTCACTGTCGGTCTATGTTCAGGGTTCTTCCTCAGCATGCTCTTAATAATTTGTTTCCTGTGACAGAGAACTTATTGCTCATTTATTTAGGCCATTAAAACGAATCAGGCATCAAGTATTCATGAAAAAGAAAAAATTTGTACAGCCTTTATGGATCAAAATAATATACAAATGAAATGTGCCAAGAAATCAAAGTTTCCATGTTCGGGAAAGACACCACTCACAGTGAAGAGGAATACACAATTGGGAGAGGAGAAATGGAGGATCTGTTTATTTTGTTGATTAGACCAGCCATATCCTGTTCAGGTTATTTTGTTTAATTATGGGAGTAAATTACAAACTCCTTACAGAAGGAAAATGATACCACGCATTATACTCGAGTCAGGCTTATACTTACAGGAGCTCTAAATGCCGGTTGATGTGCAGCAATTTCAAACATACAGCAGCCTAAAAGAGCAAGAAGAGGTTATTTCATAGTAAGGAAATTTGAGAAGTTCACAACCAGATTTTCAGATTTCATACCAAGCGACCATATGTCAGATTTGTAGCCATAAGGTATATCTGCTAGGAGCTCAGGGCACATGTAATTAGGAGTACCAACAACCTAGACGACATGAGAGGCATAGAAAACAGAAAGATATGAATAACTAAATAGTTTATCAGGGATAAGTCATAAGTAGTTCGAATATCAGCTCTTAAAGCCTTGAATCAAACCTAGTGTCACAAAAGAAGATTTTATTGCCAGAATGAACTATATTAGAAATTTGGATAGAAAATATTTAACGGTTGAGCATTTGTTGAGGCAATCTAAAGACAGGTATAGTATATAACTTAATTAACATATTAAAAATAATAATACTTTCAAGTACATACCGATGAAGCAAGTTCTTCTGTATTAAGCAGCTTTGCAAGTCCAAAGTCACCTGTTCAGTTCATACAACACATACATTTCTTAGAAGCTATCAAGACAAAGAAGCCAAACCTGATGAAAATCCTTCTAGTTAGCAGTTCTTTTGCCTTCATACCCAAGCGGACATCATTGTCCTTTGTAAGGAATATGTTGGAGCACTGAAATTGAACAATAATGAATAAGAAATAAATTTATTCAAAGAACATTACTTTCATTAAACAAATCAAAGTTTAATTATATACCTTAAGATCTCTGTGAAGAAGCCGGTTAGAGTGTAGGTAGTCCACAGCTAGCAATAACTGGGTCAACCATTTGCAGAGCTTCTGAGATGCAAAACAATAGAACCGTGTTGATAAAATGAAGGATCACAAAAGAAATTCAATTATATGAAATCTTAAAAGTTACCTCCTCTGGGAAAAAGATGCCTCTAGCCTTCTTTATTATCGCAGCCCTGATCGGAGCAGAAGAAAGAAAGGGAAAAAAATAATCCATTTAATCTTTCATGAGAAGTGTTCTAAGATGCAATTTTTAATTTTTTACTTCACATTTGATGATATTTTTTTTTGAAAAATGTATTTATAAATGTCCATTTTCTAGATCAAAATTTCATTTGCACTAATGTCAGATAAGACAAACATATAAAGGTTTGCAATCATTTTCTACCATACTAAGGCAATGACCATCAGGATGGTTCTCCATTCAGAAACAAAAAATTTGTAACCCTATGCCAATTTATAAGCACATAGCCTTCTGTGAGTTAGCGAGCAGTTGAAAATAGCGCATCTGGTTCACTTCTAGAGCATGTAACATATTGGGAGGGAAAAGCAGGCGTGGTGAGGAGGGAACAGGTCAGAAGGGGCTACATCATCCATAAATAAGAATTTACTTCTAACATGGTTGGTCCCTCCTTGACATCAGTCCCAGATTTGTCTCCACCTAAACACATTTAAGGCTATAATATATGATTCACAGCAACTTACATGTCTCCACCTTCACAGTAGGCAGTCACTATGCATACACTACTTCCCTGCATAAAAATAAAATAAAAAATAAAAAAAAAAAAAAGGAAAGAAAAAGGAAGATGCATAGAAGTTAAATTCATAGGCACCGCAAATGCTTTGTCTAGAGTTATGAGTTTCTCAAAGTCATAAGCTATTCCTAAGTTATTAAATATCTGAACACAAAATTGATTGTTTACCTTGTCCACCCAAGAATCTTTATACTCCACAATATATGGATTATTCAGTTTTGCAATCAAGTTCATCTGCATCACAAAGCAACCGTGATTTCTTTAGAGCAAGTTATGATCATATTTTGAGCCAAAAAGGCAAACACACTCTTTAATAGAAACATAAAGAGTAATGCTGGCTTGGCATACAAGAGGAACACCATCTTCATTTCTTTCTCCCTCAAGTCTAATAAATTGCCTTGTTGGTAAGGTTAGAAATCAAAACAAGATTTTCAAATTCTAGTTATGAACTCAATCTGCAAAGTAAAAGTGTGTATATAATCATTAACATTGAACTGAACTACTCGGTAGGTTTTTTTTTTTTTTTTTTTTTTTTTTAGTCTAATAAGATATCCTATGTGTGGTAAGGTTAGAAATCATAGAAAAGAGATTTTCAAATTCTAGTTATGAACTCAATCTGCAAAGTAAAAGTGTGTAGATAATGCATTAACTTGGAACACTGAACTACTCGGTAGTTTTTTTTTTTTTTTTTTTTTTCTTTTTAGAGGAAGACGGTGTCAAACAATATTTGCAGTAGTTCTACAACAGTAACTATACTAAAGCGGAAAAGACAAAACAGGATAAATTTGCCTACATGACAACATCAAGATGATTTGTTTAACTAAAAATAGATCATGAGAATACTCTCTTTTAACATCTGTCCACTATTGGAACCCAAACAAGCATGTAAAATACCCTAAAACCTATCGAGAAGTAATTTTTGTTTTTGTTTCAGGATAAATTCACGGCACGAGTGCGAGGAATATAGGTCATTTTTTTTTTTTTTTTTTTTTCTTTTTTCAGAGGAAGACGTTTCAACAATATGCATAGTTCTACAACAGTAACTAACTAAAGGAAAAGCAGGGATTAAATTTGCCTACATGACAACATCAAGATGATGTTTAGACTAAAATAGTATGGAGAGAGGTACTCTCTTTAACAAGCTCCACTTTGAACCCAACAAGCATGAAAATAGCCCTAAAACCTTCCCAATAATTTCAGGATAAATTTCACGCACATGCAAATAGCATAGAAATTACTTTTTGTATTCGACATAATTAAGCATGAACTATCAATCAGAAGTTTATATTAAAATATTAAGGCAGATAAGGTTACAAGAAAAGGATTTATAATAAATTTTCAGATGATTTGCCAGCAGAATGCCGGTAAAAGAAAAATAAAAAATGAACTAAATCATCAGAAGTCCTATGAGCAATCTCATGGAAGTTTCTGATTTCCTTCTTTTATTACGCAAATAAATAAATGAGCAACTAATTCCTCAATCAAAGAAATAATTGAAAAAAATTAATAAATAAATAAGCTCTAAATAAAATGGCCAGTGAAGGTGACCTCCTGGTGAGCTGTACGCTTGAACTTCTCAGTCTGCTTGGCCAGGCGAATCTTCTTCAGAACATACCTAACAAAGAAAAGGGAAAAAAATACCCCCAAAAATCAATCAGCTAACAGACAAAGAATCGTGCCGACACAGCCACCAACCAACATGGTGAAATACCCAAAATCACTATTTTGATTCAAATGCTGTTTATATGTTTTTTGAGTTGAAATCAATTTATATAATCAACCACAAGAAATGTTTGCAATTCCCTTCTTCCTAAAGAAATTCTACTTCACTCCAATAATAATAGAGAGCAAAAATTAATTCATCTCCTTCAATCTGCAATACCCAGAAGCTGAAACATTTTATATATGGTTATATGTTATGTAAACAAACAATGACAATTCAATGAAAATATAAAAGAAGATCTACCAAAATAAAGAAAAGAAAAGGAATTTTACAGAAATTTAGCTTCTTACTTCTTATTCTCAGCTTTATGAAGAACAAGAAAGGCAGAACCAAAAGCTCCTCTCCCAATCTGTTCTATAATTTCATAATCTTCCATCTTAGACTTCACTTCACCATTATCTGCCTCCATTTGAAACCTTCAAAACAACCAGAATCCAAGAAATATTAAAAAACCAAGAAGCCACAGCTTCAAATCAAACTGAACAAGAATAAAATTGACAAATCTCAACTAACAGAAAAAAAAAATTTTGGGTTTTGGGTTTTGTGGATAAGTTGTGTACAAGGCTTTTTACCTAAACAGAAGTAAAGAAAAGGAAAATATTAACAGGCAGTAGAGCAATAATTAACTAGTGGGTAAGTGACTGAAATGGAAATTGATGAGAAGAACTATAGAAATAAAAGTATGAGAAGGTTGCTTATAAGGTGAGAGACAGAAAGTTGAGTAAAGCTACATTCCATAATTATGAGCTTTGCAACTTGAGAGAGAGAGAGAGAAAGAGAGAGAGGTGAAAGGACAAAGTCAATTAAATTGACACTGCACCACTAATAGATGATGATTAAGCAAGTCATTAAAGACTTGATGACTTACCAAAAGAGCAGAGAGGGAGAGAATGGAGATGGGCAGACTTAATATGTAATGTGAAGCACATATATATATGTAAATATTAAATATATATATAGTTACTAATTGTTGGTTGTTGAAAATTCACCAAATATAAAAATAGAAAATGAGGGAGGTCACAAGTGACAGATATGGAAGACTAAAGGAAAAGGCAAAGGCTTTGCTTGCATTTACAGATTCACAAAGGGGAGGGGAGATCACTCATTCTCCAGGAGAATGTTTCTTTTGCATGCAGTTGTGATGTCACCATCCTTCCAACTTGATTAATTAATTAAATTATCCTATTATAATTTTCATTTTATGTTATCATTATAATTGCCACAAGCCAGTGGTTGGTTTACAAAAGATTAGAGATCTCAGGTTTTTTTTTTTTTTTTTGGACTGAAATTAAATTAATAATAATTTATAGATTCGACGATCAAAATTCATATTAAGAGCTAATTGTTGGATGATTAAGAAGCCAGACACATTGTTATTTTATAATTCTAGGAGGCAAATTTTGTCTTTACATCTAAAAAAATTATATAATTTACTGAATCAGCTCTAACAAATTTTAGCTTGCAAATACAAATAAATAGTGTATCACTTCAATACAAACAAATAGTGTATCACTTCAATACAAACAAATAAGTTTATTTTATTATTGTCTAAATGAATAAATAGAAAGTCTAATAAACTGTCACGAATCAAGCGAATCTTCATTTTAAATATCTTTGATATATTAAAAAAAATAAAAATATTACCATTATCAGAAGTAGTAAACAACTACTATAATATAATTGAATTATAATTTACTAATTGAATATTTATATTTAAGTCAATTTGTCTTTCACTGGAGTTTTAAATTCAAAATATGAGACAGAAAATAATTCTTGTATCACTTAACCAAAACTCAATTTTTGTTATTGTTTATCTTAATTATGATTGGATTAATAGTCTAATGATAGAATATTATATTGTAATATGGAAAGTATTAAGTTTTAATATTTAAAGTTTTGATGTGGCAAAAGAAAAATTAATAGTAGTTGTAGTAGCTAAGAAACTTTTGCAAATATTTGTGCTGTTGACAAGTTGGGTTTTGGCTTTAAGGACATAATGAATGTCTTGAAACTTTGTTTAAGACCAAAAAGTACTTCATCATCTCATAAATTTGCATCTTTGGGGATATAAATGGGTACTGAAATTCTTTAATTGGGGCCATATGAAAAATGAATTAGTAATTGTACTCTTTTAATGCTAGATATCAAATTTATTTAATCAAAGCTTGGTCTGTTTCCAGATCCTCTTTGATGCTTTGATGAGCTGGTGGACCAAGACAAGAAACATGCTTAGTAGTAGCTTGTACAATACAATAGTTATCTCTTGCTTAATTTAATAAATGATGGGTCCTTTTCTTCTTTAAACAACTGAGACGTTGAGTGTTGAAGTACTCAAAAAGAAAAATTTTGCTTAATGATGCCTTAGTTACTTTTCTTTTTTGCCATTGATTACTATATGCAGTGAATATTATACGCTCTCCACTATCAGCAAACAATGCAGTACAGAAATACAAATTGCAATTAAATGTTTACATGCGTAGGAATTAAATTTGGTATCTTAAGGTTCCAGGGAGTCACCCCTTGACGCTAGGCTAGGAGATCATTTGTTAATGATGCCTTAATTACATCTGCAATTGGTAGTATATCTATATGATAATAATAAAAGAAACATCATGGTACTGGCTCTTTTTAACAAAATGCTAATGACTTCTTTTTTCACTTTTTCTACAAACTTTTTTCAACTTAAAAAAGGAAAATGAATTATTATTTATATTATTGGATTTAAGTTAATTAAAAGATGTATACATCTTTGCTTTCGTTTTAAACAAAGAGGTACAATGTCATTATATTGTGTATGGTGATATTGTAGCGAGTGTGAAAAGTGTCAATTTCTCCTCGTGCAAAGAATCAGAGGAAAAGACTCCCACCCCACTAAATCAAACAAGATCTGAACAAAGCACAAATACATATTTGAGGGTTGGATTTGGACCCTACAACTCGAGCAACAAATCTTTTAGCTCAACCCCACAATCCAAAACCATATCATGTCCAATTTCACAACACTGCTTGGTCCATCCAAGCTTACTTATATTAGCTAACAACTTTCCCAGCATATATACGCATGCCATGGTTAAAGCTGTCTCTTTATGCATATACAGTTGACATAATAACACACACAGCTGGAAAACAGCTACCAGATATTACCCACTTCTTTTTTGCCCTGAAAAATAGATAACATGGATCCAAATTATTTACTGTAAACAAAGTACCTCAAATGCACACTATTAGAAGTCACATTTAAAATAGCTAGAATAAAGATATTTTCACCTACTGATATGCCAAAGAAAAGTTTATACAAAAAATTAGGTCTTGTGGCCAAAGTCTATCGTAGTGTAGAGCTACTTTTGCTTTAATTTTTTAGAGGCCTTACGACGGTCAATTTTCTTCTGTGCAGCTTCAAATTCTTCTTCTGTGAGTTCAGGAGCTGCATTACCACCGCCATATTTGGAGATCATAGATGAGAACATGGAATCAAACCGGTCTTTCCTCTCAGTTCGGCGCTGAGATATAATAGCAAGTAGATCTGCTTCAGATTGTTTATTTGATCTGTGAAAGATACAGATGATGTTTACTTGTTGAATAAAATGGTTAAGGGCATCTAAAGGATATAAAAACAATTGTGTTGAAGACTCACTTTGCCTTCCTTTTTAATGGACTGGTGGGCGGTTTTGTTTCAGATACTTTCTTCGCCCATTTCAGGTAAGCTTTGGTTGCCTTCAGTTCCCCTATATGAGAGCACAGAGGAACTAAGCATCAATAAATACTACTTACCAATATGCTTATTGGTCTCAGTTGTCTATTTCCAAAATGTCTAGATCAATATTCGTTAGAAAAAATGTATTTGTAGGAGCTAGAATAAAACCTCACCTGCAGATATAGCTTCATCCAATATATCCTTATATCGATGTGAATCAAGCTTAGGATCAGAACAGAGCATTGAACAAAAGAGCCTGACAAGGGAAATTTTTTAAATCAAACTCAAAAGCATAAAGAAAAGAAGGCAGGCACCTTAATTGCATACCTGTTCATATTACCCATGCAGTTCATATAAAGGTCAATTAAATCTTTTTTCTCTAAATCGGATCCCCTATAATTTGCTTCAAACTCTTCGATATCAGCTTCAGTGACCTGAATTGGATGTATGCTTGTCAGCTTATGGGAGTGGAGAGCTCAAGTAGTAGTAATAAATGAAATTAGGAAAGATGCATTGGCAGATAATATAACCTTTCTGTACATGGCACGGAAAAAATCCCTCAAATTTTCAACAACATCACCTGCAAGATCCTGGTCAACAAGAGAAGAATAGAATGATGCTAAGTAAAAGAAAAGTTTTCCACTTCCCGAGACGGTAAAAGCATTTATCTTTCTTTCATAGAGCAGTTAAATGGATTAATTTCCTTTATTATAAATTTGAAACAAATTTCTTAAAGTTAATGATAAAACCTAGCCATCTAAGATAATAATAAACGCAATATTGACATAGTATTGCTGGCTATGAATGCACGCTTTATGTAGATATTGCATACTGTCTTTGCCTACAAAAGCTTGAAAGCGCGGAACAAAATTTTGTTTCAGCTCTTGTGATCCTAGATCTATCAATCCAAGTGAGGGGGAAAAAGGTAATAGCACTTACAGCATCATCAACACAACCAGTTTGATCATAGACAGCCCGTTTCTCCTCGTCACCAAGGATTGAAATCACCTTTTGCAGTTGCTGAAATTTCTCTTTAGCTTCCTGTTAGAAGATCAAACAAAAAGTTAAAAAACAACACATAATTAATAAACATATGAGTGACAATCTGTTATCAATCATTCACCTCATCACCAGGATTTTTATCAGGATGCAGCCGCAAGGCCAACTTGTAGTATGCTTTCTTTATTTCCTGCTGCGATGCTGTTTGCTCGACACCAAGAACCTGCAGCCCAGTTGTTGTTGCAAATCTTATTCCAGCACAATTACAATATAATCCAAGTACATTTATCATATGTAAACCAAGACAAAAGAAGTGAGTTATTGACCAGCAAAAGAAAACGAAGAAAAGTATGGAGAATGAAGGCTGTCACTAATGATATATCATTATTCCCAAACAATTCATTATCCTACTCAAAATATTAAAAACCTTGGCAATGAATTAATTAAACCAAGTCAATAAAGTTAAAGAATAAAACTCTCCTAGTCTTTAGTCAAAAGATCTGATACTTCATCTCCTAATCATTGATATTTCAATAGGATTTTCTCAGCAATCCTTAAATTCGCACATCTTCATTTCCATTTATATAATTTGTTCAATTTGATTTTACACTATTACCTAGCATTATCCAAACAAGATAAAATTCTAAGAGAATTCTAAACATGGTCTTAGCCTTTAGAATGAAATAGTTTCTTATAGAAGTCTATAACCTGACGATTAAAATAAAAAAAGCACTTATCATTGCACGACAAATTTCAGATGTCATGAACAGAAGAGGAAGTAAAATGATAAAGTCACCCCAGACTTCCACATAAGAGGCCATAGCACACCATCAATATTTCGGATGTCCTTCCCCAAGCAATTAATTCTTCCTTCATTTCAATTGCATTGCACAGCAGTATGGAATGCAACTATTAGAATGACCACAAATTTCAAGTGAACTAAACTCAGATTTTATACAGATGATGAGATAGGAGACCGTTAGCAGAGATTATATACAAATAAATGACCACATTGGGATTCTGTACATATCAAAAATCAGGAAAGCAAGTGGCAATGAAACCTCGTTTAATGTGCCTGTTATTGTGAACTTTGGATTCAGGAGAACAACAAAGTCCAATAATGATTCAAAAATTCCACACTGACATAAATAAAACAGCATGCTACTAGTCATTCCATCAATTTAAAACAGCTAAAATTACAAGTGTTGCATGTTCTCTCCATACATCAATATATTCATGCACGACTAAATATTCAGACAATAAATCCAAACACTCCATCACCTTGATCTGATTTCAAGACTTTTTTTTTTTTTTTTTTTTTAAAACAGCTAAAATTACAAGTGTTGGCAGTTCTCTCATAACATCAATATAATTCATGCACGAACTAAATATTCAGACAAAAATCCAAACACTCTCCATCACACTGATTCTGATATTCAGACTTTTTTTTTTTTTTTTTTTTACCTCAGGCGGCCTGATTTCCCATTAACCATTTTTTTTTTTTTTTTTTTTTCACCTCAGCGCCTGATTTCCATACAAATCCTTAAAAAATGCAAGAATTCAAATTGCCATCCAAATTTCGTAGTGTTATGCAAGCAGAAAGTAGAGAAAAGCAATTCATTGCTAAAAGGAAACCTAAGTTAATTTCCTTGGAAACTAGATCCAACTTTTGACGCAAGAAATTAACCCAAATAAGTGAAGTCGAAGTTTCTAGGGTCACTCAAGCTTCACAGCTTGCGATTTCATTGATTCATTGAGGAAGAAGGACATCTTCCATATGCATCTTCAACCTAACAGCAAATGAGCTAAAGATTTTTAATTGTCTAAGACATTAGAAAAACCAAACATTTAACTGCAACTCATAGATTCTACTCTACAATCAGAAAGCCTTCAAATAAAATTGAAGCTTAAAGGTCCATAGAACTTCGAAACAAAATGAACATTCCCAAAACAATGTCAACCCACTTCACACCCTCAACATAACCAGAAAACTAAGGATAAAACAGAAACAACTCAACAACTGAAACACCATCTTCATACAGTGCCATCCATGCTTCTAATAGTTTTTAATCCCAAGAATACACCTATGATTAGAAAACAATTGTTGCAGGTTTCCAGTGTGGCTACATTTATCAGCACTTCATAACAAGTCAAGACTAAGCGCTAATAAATCCACCACCTATAATCAACATTAGCTGTTAACACTGCTTATGCCTAACCAAAATACAAATACACAACTGTTTAATCCCCAGTTGCTGCTCACTCAATGAAACAACGCATGCCCCAGATATAAATTCCCATAAAAAAACATCATCTTCCATTTCGAGACTAAAAACATTACCCAAGACCAATTTAAACATCAAATTACAAAAACCATAGATGACTGATGAAAAACTCAAGTAAATCAAATCCATAAACCCTAAATCTCAATTTAAGCAAAAGCTCTGAATAGACTTCGACCTAAGACTAATTCAAACAAATAAAGGAACACAATTACCCAAAATTGAGACAAAACAAAATCATTTCCACAAGCAACTCAAATCCATGGTTAAAACCTAACACCGAATTAACGACAAAACACCATTTCATTACCTCATAGAGACTTTTTGCCCTTGAAGAAGATCCATTCACATTCTCACTTTGTTCCTCTTCTTGTTCTTCAACTTCAACTTCTTCTTCACGAGAAACCCTAGATTTCGATTTATCTTTCTTTCTCTTCCCCATTTTGGTCTAGCAATAGAAGATTAGCGTGTAGAGTGAACAAAGCGAAGAAGAGAGAAATAGCGTGTCTGTGCGAAACAAACCAGGTGAGAGCGAGCGGGAAGCCTTTGGAGTATCGTATTTTGGGCAGATCCCTTATATGCCAGAGCTTTGGCGTGTCAATCCGATTTTGTTCCCGCGTTATTGCCAATTCTTCCCGCCGTTTTTATATGCCGTGGGATCGTCTAGGCTGAGTTCATGCAAGCTGGATCTCAACCGTTTATTTCCTGTGGGGTCTAGAAAAATGGGGTAAAAATAATTGCAAATAATGAGGTATTATCCTTTTCCATGTTTCAAAGTAAAGCCAGCCCTCCCATTTCTTAAAATTAGCCCGGCCCATTTCCGGAGGCCTTTTCCTCTCGTAAAAGACATTGGGCCGTCTCGCCATCGTCTTTTTCCCTCCTCGAGGGACTGAAAATTAGCGTGAACATTCGGAAAATTTGAGTAACAACCGATAGCTGATTTTTTTTTTTTTTTTTTAATTTCCCTCCTCGGGGACTGAAAAATTAGCGTTGAACATTCGGAAAATCTTGAGTCCAAGTAACAACCGATAGCTGGATTTTTTTTTTTTTTTTTAAATTAACTCAATTAATTTTTAGACTTAATTTTTTTTTTTTTTTTTTAACTTAACTCAATTAATTTTTTAATTAATTTAACCAGATAATTTTTTTTCAAATTAATTTCAATTATTACCAACGCCAAAATTAAAGAAAACAAGATCCATGAATCGATCGAATTTAATAGAAATCTTTTATTAATTGATTTTAATCGAAATAAAAATTAACCAAAAGTACTAATCACTGCTTAATCAAAAAAATATAATTTTGACAGTGAGTTAATTTGATTAATTCATTTGATTGATTTTTTAACCAAAATTTTAGTTGTTCAAAAGGACAATCTCTTGTCCAACTATTAATGAGAGTGGGGAAATACTCTTTGCAGTAAAAAATAAAATGTAAAATCATTTTTTTGAAAAAGACAAAATTTCAAAGCACCAATTCTCATGTTAAAATTTTAATTAATGTAGGAAATTATTTTTCTACCTTAAATTAGGAATACATTACAATTATCTTAATTCAATTAAAAAAAAGAACTAAATAGAAAAAAATTATTAATAAATTAACAGAATAATCTTCATTATAATTGGATTTTCTCTCTAGATAAAGAAATTTTGATCTCTCTTACTCTATTGCATATAAACTTTACATGTATAATTGTGTATATGACATAATGAGAGGTCTGAAAAATGTAGGATTGGGTCCAGAAATAGTAAAAGAAAAGAAAAGGGGCATACATAGAATGATTATTAATTAACAAAGAGCAAGAAAATAAGGAGGAACATGGGAAGCAAAATAAAAGAAAGGAGACCCTACTCTCTGCTGAAAGCAATGTTGGTATTCATAGTAAGATCTAGTATTACATTATTGTTCTTATAGCTTTCTTCAATGCAATAAGTGAAATTTGATAATGCTATTGTCAATCTTTTACTCACCACCACCACCACCCCCAACGCATCATTTCTTGTTTGTTCATCAAAGACAAAAAGGGCTATCCCTCCAAATACTTTTTTGGGACTTGAGGGTGCCTTCCTATATAGGGAAAATTACAATAATGTATTGTAGCACAAACGCCCATATCCTATACAAGCACATATATATGTCACACTACAAACAGTTAAATATTATTATAATAATAGATGAGATTTTTAAAATTAAAATAAAAAGCTCGGTGTAGTAATTAACTAAAGGTACAGTGTAGTAGTAGTTCAAAAGGCTGAGAATATAAATATATATTAAAAAAAAAAAGAAAAAACTTAATCATTCTTGTTAGGAATAACAAAGGAAGGAATGATTGAGGAGGTTCGAAGATGAAAGAAGAAAAATATAGCATTTGTCATTAACATTTTATTGAAAGAAAGCTTTCTAGCTCTCTCTTCGGATTAATCCACAGTAATTAAAAATAATGAGCTAACATGGCTTCTCTTCTCTCCTTTTTGCTTTTAGCAAGTGCAATCAAATTAATAATTCAAAATAATTTAGTATTTTATGTTAATTGGTAGAGAAGTTTCTTGCTTTGCTTGGGATGCTTTAATAAAGTGAACCTGACAGTGAAATTTTTTTGATTAGATCTTTTGGCAGAGGATGCAATAATGGTTGTCCTCCCCCTTTCCAGTTTTGTTATCAAGTCAAAATCCAATATCAAAAGTCAACTAGAGGGAAGTTGTTTCTTTTTTCTTTTTTCTTTCTTTTTTTTTTTTTACCACTTCGTTTTTAATTTACTATGTACGGAGTGTACTCTCCTTCTACTGGTTCCTTTGGCAGAAATGGACTTCTCACATTGCTTGGGGGAAGAAGACCTGCCAATGCCATTCACCCAACAAGTCATTTCAATTTAAGAATTCGTATTCCTACCCTTAATTTATAATAAAATCATTTTTCCTCCTTGTTTTCTTTCTTGTTTTCCCTAATCTATTGGCACTTAAGTTGAATATTGATTTGTTTAAAGATAAGATTAATGTCGTTTTATGAAGTAGACCCATCAATAGTTTAATGGTAAGGGGAAAACCATGTTTTTAGTAATCCATGGTTAAGTAGATTGGACCATTGGAGGAGTGTTAATGAAAAAGAAAAAGAAAAAGAAAGGTCATAATAAAAAATTTCTGCTGCTACGACATGTCGTGTCATGTGAGTAAAGTCTGCATGGGATTCTAAATCAAAATTTCATTGGCCTGGGCGGTACAGATTTTTACATTATTGCCTAAAATTTTGTTTTCTTAATGCAATAATGTTGAAAGAGAGCGTATTGTTTGTTTCCTATGTCACCAGTGGCTTGGTTTCCCTTTTCTTCCAAGAGAAACTTTAAGAAGTATTTTGTATTTCTTTTTTTAAATATACAAACTGGTCTCCTAAAAATTTTATATTATATACTTTGAGCCCCCGATATTTAGGGTTTAGTTTTGATCATGGTTTCATCAAAATTAATATTAATAGGGCAAATCTGAATTTTTTAAGATGGTCCCGGTTTGACTGTCCAATTGGCTAGGTTTGGTTGGTTGGATTCTAGTGTGAGTCAAAATTGGTCCAGATAAGATCTCCACCGTTGGAATATATTACATCATCAGCGATAAAAGCGGGTGATCTTTACAGGATAATCGTAGGGATCAAAATATCCAAAACCACTGCACTGTGACCTGAAAGTGACGATACATAGGAATTTTACGGTGCACCCTTAATTATTTTCAAATACTAAAAATAAAATATATGTATGCGGTTGAAAAGAGTTCCCACGCATGGCACGTGCGATGTGGACTTTTGTCTCTTTCCTAACCTTTCAGACTTTTCTTGTCCTCATTCTTTTCGTTCACGAGAAGCCTTTGGTTGCTTTGTGATTCGTCCTTTTTAAATTCCAAAGCTTTATTTATTTTTTTATTTATATTTTTGGGTCTGACTTTGTAGTTCTGTTTTTCCCATTTTTAGATAGAAAATAAAATTAAATAAACTGTACTTTTTTTTTTTGAAATGGAAATATATTATATCTTTTAAGTCAAATTAAAATTGAACCATGTATAATGCAAGTTGCTTTGGTTTGTTCATACGATTTTTCAGCAATTTTAATTTATCTTTTTTATAATTAAATCAAAAATAAAAAACTAAAATTATAAATCAAACTGCATTAATTAATATAAACAACCAATCTAAATTAATTTAGTTTTTTCAATTTTAACCGATGTGTGCGCGTACTTACAAATATCTCTCCTCTCTCTGATTGTACTCGGCAATAATTTTTTAAATAACTTTTCGCATTAAATGTTTGAATTAATTTTTAAATATTAAGATAACATTTTATAAAAAGTTAATAAATGTAACATTTAACTTTTTAATATTTTATGAAAAATTACTCAACCAATTACTAATTATTCAAATATCTAAACGCTATTAAAATAGTTAATAAGTACTAAAACAACTAATTTTGATGAATAAACCCTGTAACTATTGTTATAATCCCATTTTTCCGATACATCCTCAATCCAACTTAAAAAAATTAACTTGTTTATTGGTAAATAATATTAAAATATATGATAAATTCATATGTAATGACATATGCATAATATTATTCTTATTTTTAATAATATAATATGAGAAAAGGTAGGTACCCAATGCATTGTCAAGGGAGGCAGGGTTACAGTTACACCAACCAAACAAACATGGCCCCATCAACCGCATCCCAAAAACAAAATGGTAATATATCTACACACACATAGATTTTAGCCAGGATAGCCATTTCACAAAGGGATCTTTGGTGATTACTGTTCATCATGGTGTAATGATGGTTGCTGATAACTTTTGAAGATAGATTTTATACATGTAAAAAGCCTAAATACAATATTTACCTAAAAGAATTTTTTTCCTTTTTCCCTTCTCATTGAATATCATTTATGTGCAGAAAATATCATTTAGAATATTTGTGCATCTCATTAAATATGAATTAATTAAGAAAAAGACATGTAGAATTATGAATTATCTATATTTTCTAAAAAAGACAGCAAATGATGAATTCCTGGTTTAGAGAATGTGAATTTTTTTTGCAAAAAAGGAGTCATTTACTTAAATTAATGCAGGCAGTGTATTTACTCTTTCTGATGAGTAGTTAGAAGGTCAAATCCTGTCTTTTGTGTATTTCACTGTATAGTTTTTGACTTTTGAGCAAAAGAGAGGATGCCAAAAAAGCAATTAGTAATTATTTTTTTTCCTTATTCTACTGATGTGATTTTGGTAAGTGACAAATAGGCTGGATCTCATGTGCATGTAAAAGCTACAGTGTAGTTTATACATCAATCACTGGTCTTGCTGTGAACTTATGATCATCCCTGTCCATACCTATGTGACAAAATATATGTCCTTATCTTTTTTTTTTTTTTGAAGGTAAATTATGTTCTTATTTATTTTGCAAGAACATATATGGAAATATAAATTTTTTATTATGTTTAATTTCTAAGATTTGTGCATAATACAAAATAATCGAATGAAATGAAATTAACATATCAACAAAAATCTAACAATTTTTTCTCTTATCTTTTAAGTGATATTATCTGCTCGCTTTTATTTGTTGAGATAATATTTGATAAAATTAAAGGCTAAATAATACTAAAAATTAAATAATATAAGTCTTGAAATTCTTAAATTTATAAAAAATTATTTAAAAGTTCAGATAAGATTCATTTATGCATTTTCGTTTTTTGATTTATCATTTTAAATGAATTTTAATATAATTAAAATTTTGAATTGATGTATAAATAAGTTTTATCAAATAATTCAAAATGTTAAATAAAATTATCAAACTATCATTTATGATAAAAAAGAAATTAATATTCATAAGTTATTTAGAGAAAAAAATAATTCTGAATTAAAATAAAACCCTAACTAATGTATAAAATTTGAGAATATTTTTGTGTTTTTATTTGGTATTTACAAGAGTAGTGTACTATATATACATTTTTAAATATTGTTTCTTGATCACTGCTATATTACTTTTTTAATCCTGTTGATTATTGAAATAAAATAACAACTTTTAATGTTCATTGCACAGTCTTCAATACTTTCTTTATTGTAATGTTAAGTCTAATATATTATTTATTGTCTTACCTTTATCTTCTCCTCTGAAAATGAGCAGAACCCTGATAATGCAATTACTAAATAATAGAAATTCCACTATTATAATCTTCTTTATAATTAAAAATTTGACATGCTATGACTATCTTCTTATATAATATACAATGTCAAAAAATTCCAAAAAGTCACACTGACTTCTTCACACATGTGTGATACCCTCAACCACATCAAGGTCTGTAGGCTATAGGAGTCCATTTTTCTCAGTTTTGCTTTCTCTCTTCGCTGTCTTGCTTCTACTGATATATAGAAAACATTGAAAACAACATAAACAAAGCTCTCTCTCTTTCTCTTGGGTCCTTCAATGGCTTCTGCAACCTGCAGATACTATCTTGTTTTCCTTTTTAGCTTTTGCTTCACCCTCTTCTTCATCAGTTCAGCTTTAACTGAAGCTGATATCCTTCTTTCCTTCAAGACATCCATTGAAGACCCGAAGAACACTCTTTCAAGCTGGTCTATTAACTCCACTGTCCCTTATTGTAAATGGACTGGAGTTTCTTGCACCAATGGCACTTCTTCTTTAACTGTAACTTCTCTTGATCTTCAAAGTTTGAATCTTTCAGGTGAAATCTCTGCTTCTATATGCGGACTTACCAATTTGACCTTTCTCAGTCTAGCTGATAATCTTTTTAACCAGCCTATACCTCTTCATCTATCTCAGTGTAGTTCTTTGGTAACATTGAATCTTAGTAATAATCTTATTTGGGGTACAATCCCAGATCAGATTTCTCAGTTTCAGTCTTTAAGGGTTCTTGATTTTAGCAGAAATCATATTGAAGGAAAGATACCAGAAAGCATTGGGTCTTTGGTGAAGCTGCAAGTTCTCAACTTGGGAAGCAATTTGCTTTCAGGTAGTGTTCCTTCTGTTTTTGGGAATTTTAGTGACCTTGCTGTTCTTGATCTGTCTCAAAATGCATATTTGGTGAGTGAGATTTCTAGTGATATTGGGAATCTTAAGAAGCTGGAGCAGCTTTTCTTGCAAAGTTCTGGTTTTTACGGTGAAATTCCTAATTCTTTTGTGGGTTTGCAAAACCTAGCCATTTTGGACTTGTCGCAGAACAATCTAAGTGGTGCGATTCCTCCAACGTTAGGGCCTTCTCTTAAAAGCTTAGTTTCTTTTGATGTTTCACAAAATAAGCTTTCTGGGTCATTCCCTAATGGTATATGCAGTGCTCAAGGCCTCATAAATCTTGGTCTGCATACTAATTTCTTTAAAGGAGCAATATCCGGTTCAATTAACGAATGCTTGAACCTTGAGAGGTTTCAAGTCCAAAATAATGAGTTTTCTGGTGATTTTCCAGATGGATTATGGTCATTAAGCAAAATAAAGCTCATCAGAGCAGAAAACAATAGATTTTCTGGAAAAATACCAGATACAATATCAATGGCAGCTCAATTGGAGCAAGTGCAGATAGATAATAACAGCTTTACTGGTAAAATTCCTAATGGTCTTGGTTCCGTTAAGAGCTTATATAGATTCTCTGCTTCTCTCAATGGTTTTTCTGGTGAATTGCCTCCCAATTTCTGTGATTCTCCAGTTATGAGTATTATAAACCTGTCGCATAATTCCCTTTCTGGTCATATTCCTGAGCTCAAAAAATGTAGGAAATTGGTCTCATTATCTTTGGCAGATAATAGTCTTACTGGAGAAATCCCACCATCTCTTGCTGATTTGCCCGTGCTAACTTACCTTGATTTGTCAAATAACAATCTCACTGGTTCAATTCCACAAGGGCTTCAAAATTTGAAGCTTGCTCTATTCAATGTATCATTTAACCAACTTTCTGGTAAGGTCCCTTCTGCTCTCATCTCTGGTCTCCCTGCTTCTTTCTTGGAAGGAAATCCTGGCCTATGTGGCCCGGGATTGCCTAACCCGTGCTCTGATGAGATGCCAAGACACCAGAATTCTGTTGGTCTCAGTGCAATGGCATGCGCTTTGATCTCTATTGCTTTTGGCATCGGAATTTTGCTTGTTGCTGCTGCATTTTTTGTGTTCCGTAGATCCTCTAACTGGAAATCTCAAATGGGTGGTTGGCGATCAGTGTTTTTCTATCCTCTTAGAGTAACGGAGCATGATTTGGCCATGGCAATGGACGAAAAAAGTGCTGCAGGAAGTGTTGGAGCTTTTGGCAGAGTATACATTATAAGCTTACCAAGTGGAGAACTAGTTGCTGTAAAGAGGATAGTCAATATTGGTAACCAAACTTCAAAAGCATTAAAGGCCGAGGTCAAGACATTAGCAAAGATTAGGCATAAGAACATTGTTAAAGTTCTCGGCTTTTGCCACTCAGATGAATGCATCTTTCTAATTTATGAATATTTGCAAAAGGGGAGCTTGGGGGATATGATTGGCAAGCCTGATTGTCCGTTGCAATGGAGTGTTAGATTAAGGATTGCCACTGGGGTTGCTCAAGGATTGGCATACCTTCACAAGGACTATGTTCCGCATTTACTCCATAGAAATGTCAAGTCAAAGAATATTCTTCTGGATATGGATTTTGAACCAAAGCTTACAGATTTTGCCCTTGATAGACTTGTGGGAGAAGCTGCCTTCAGGTCAACCATTGCTTCAGAATCTGCAAATTCCTGTTACAACTCTCCTGGTATATATAGTTCTTTCCTTCCTACAATTTACATAACAGAATCAGATGGTATGCATGCGCATTTTTTTTCCTGAAATTTTAAGTCCTTATCATTTGTAAAATTATTTCGACTAGGCATAACCAGGAATTTCATTGAACTTATTTTATATGGATAGTTGCATTTACATAATGTATGCTTTTGATGCGCATGAATACCATGTTTTAGAACATAAATATGCTACTTACTCTAATTCTTTCTATAATACCTCATATGGCTTATTGAGTTATTTTCTTGATTGCAGAGCTTGGATACAGCAAGAAAGCAACAGAGCAAATGGACGTTTACGGCTTTGGTGTTGTGCTATTGGAGCTCATAACTGGCCGTCAAGCTGAACAAGCAGAACCAACTGAGTCTCTTGATATCCTGAAATGGGTTAGAAGGAAAATCAACATAACCAATGGGGCAATCTCAGTTCTAGATCCTAAAATACCAAATTCTTTCCATCAAGAGATGCTAGGAGCTCTAGATATTGCCATTCGATGCACTTCCGTGATGCCTGAGAAACGACCTTCAATGGTTGAAGTTGTAAGAGGACTCGTGTCACTAAGCTCAAAACCACAGCTTCCATGTTCAGAATTTTCAACCTTGGAGGAGAATTCAAGTCCAGTTTGAATGCAGAAGAATAGTTTCTCTTAGCTTTTTGTTTCAGGTCTTTGTCTGTAAAAAAGTAAAAAAAAAGAATGCAAGTTGATTTCACATATCTTAGTTAAAATCTCCTCTGATTGAGGAATGAAAAAGTGTTTGTAAGGTATTCTCTGCTCTGGGTTTGGATTGGCAAACCAATTGGGAAAAGTAATACAAGAGTATTGGATCGGATTAGAAAATTTGAGACTCAGAAATTCAACTCATACTAAAGTAGAGTAATTTGTGTTGAGAATGACTTTGATTTGGGATGAGAAATGGTTCAAATGAAGAGCGAACTTTCTCTCTGCAATTTCATAGGATAATTTTAGGAGGAAGAAAATTCATCTCAAGAAGTGAACAAGGAGATGAACTCAGTCAACATTTGCTAAGCTGTAATGAAGCCTTATATAATGTAATTAAATTCATTTGTAATGTAATATTAATAGTAAATGCTTTTGATTAGGTTCCATTTGGGTGAAGAGGTAAATTTCCTCGTAATTCTCTAACACCTACGAGAGAAATTATTTTTCATCGTAGTAAAGAAATATCTAGAGAACTTGAATTTGAAATCTCTCATCCTTTATATATTAGTGAAAAGACCAAATAGATCATATTTTGTTAGTTTATTGAACTTTTTATTTATCGAGATTCAACCTTTTAACTTTTATTTTAGTTAGAATTAAATTTTTATTTAAGTGATTAAAGAATGATAATAATGTATGTTAAAAAGTCATTGATGCGAGATTTGAATCAAAGTATTAAGTCAACGAATTTTTATTTTTGTTGAAATTAAGCCATTAATTTTTATCGTTAAAATTAAGTCGATAAAATTTTATTTTTTTTGTTAAAATTAAGTTTTTATTTTATTTATGCCATTAATAACTAGAATTTACCATTTACTCTGTATCTGAATAAAAGGTAAAAGGACTAGATTTTAGTGGATAAAACTTGATAAATTTAAGCACTTAAATATGGAATTTTTGCCATTAATAAAGTAAAAATCATATACTAACATTACGATGGTGTAAAAAGTTTTACCAATACCCGACCCGGAAACTGCAAGCGAAAAAAGCCCATCAATCAATGGGTCTATTTTATGTAGGTGCTTGGCCCAATCCCACTATAAAAGCACCTCATTTCTTATCTGTGCAAAACCCTAGCAGCAGCAAACAGAAGCAGCGTCGAGCACCGCCACTTCTTTGTAGGGAGAACCACCAGCACCGCCACAATCAACCATGGTAAGTTAGATTACTGCCTCCTTCGCTCTCAGATCTTTCTCAAAAACTCTAAAAATTTCCCTCTTTGGTTTTTTTTTTTTTGGCAGACATTCAAGAGAAGAAACGGTGGCCGCAACAAGCACGGCCGTGGTCACGTTAAGTTCATTCGCTGTTCCAACTGCGGCAAATGCTGCCCTAAGGTAACCTCTACCACTACTATCCTTATCTTATTCCTATATTTGTTGATTTTATTATTAAAAATCCTGGTTTTTGATTGATTAAAGGACAAAGCTATCAAGAGATTTCTTGTGAGGAACATTGTTGAGCAAGCTGCAGTTAGGGACGTTCAGGATTCTTGTGTTTATGATGGTATATTTCTCTACTATCGCTTTTTTGGTTATGTTTTAGATCAATGTTTATGGATTGATTTGAATGATTATTCAGGATATGTTCTTCCTAAGCTGTATGTGAAGATGCAATACTGTGTTTCATGTGCCATTCACTCCAGAGTTGTCAGGGTTCGCTCTCGCACTGAGCGCAGGAACCGTGAACCACCACAGCGCTTCCTCAGGCGCAGGGTAATATTTCTTTTCTTAGATCTTTTATTCTTCTTCTTGCTTCATAATTTATTTACTATGTTGCTATTTTTCTGTTGATTCTTAAAAATTGGGCAATAAAATTACTCTTTAAACTCGCAGTAACCTGTATGTAATCAGAAAGGTTCATTTGTTGTCTGTTTTTTAAAATTACACATTCTAATGTTGCTGAATGTAATAGTTTTCTCTTGTAATATTTGATATGGAAACATATATTTTTGAGCCATTTGTTGGGGTCTTCTTTAGTTGGGTCCTTTGTGCCAATTCAAGTACAATTGTAGTTGCAGTTTGATTTTGTCTTTATATTTTAGCTTGATTTTGATTACATAAGGGTGTGATCTAATTATCTTGTTTAATCTCAATGTTTCTTTCCTTGATTCTGTAATTCACGGAAATAAACTTGTGATTGTGTTATTAGAATGCTAAAGCAGTAGTTTTCTGTCTTTAATGAACTGTTGACAGTGTCCTAATTTCTCGAGCGTGTTATGAACATGTCATTTTTCATGCTCTATTTCAAATTTGGTTTATCGGTTGTGTTGTTTATGTTTCAGGATGACCTGCCAAAGCCTGGACAGCCAGGTCAGACCGGTCAAGTAGCTCGTCCTGCAGGTGCCGGTGTTGCTGCTAGGACCTAAGTGTCGAATTCTTTCTGTTCTATGTTTTGTTTTGAAGTTGCTCGTTAAATTTTCTAAGGAATGAAATTTGCTGTCTCAATCTTTTTAAGTTAGACATTAAGGATTATATATGTTATCTTGAAAATTTTTGATCCATGAGAGTGCATTATGACATTACTTCACTTATGCTTTATGGCATGATGAATCTTTACAAGTTCTTTGTGATAGTTTAAATGGTAGCTAATGTTTGCCTTGTTGCATGGTCTTTTTAAGTAAAGGTTTATCCTTGTGGTGATGTTTGGAGGGCAATAGATAGGAATATATTCTTCCAAATTTGTAGGAATTGAGAGATTGATTGATATACTGTAGGCAGGATAAAAATGCCATTGATATAATTTGGGACTGTTTTGGTTATACCTTATTGCAAGACGATAGAAAGCCTAGCAATGGTTGGTGGCTCAAAGAGCCTAGAGCAATGCTTTTAATTTACTATAAGATTCTTGTAGTAGGGAGTATTTCCTTTTTCCACGATGCAATTTGATTAAATCTCACGTTCTTTTCTTGGTCAGAAGTTTCGTTTAATGAGTCGCATTGGTAAATTATATGTAAATTAAGCTTTTGCACTCGGTTTCATGTCACTGTAATTGCTTAAATTTTTTTTTTTTTTACCACACCATAGAAGAAAAGCATTCACTGACTTTGGATGCTAAACACATATTCTAGCTCATTAATCAATTATCCTTTTGATCGGTCAACGGGTCAAGTACGCTAAAATTTCAAAACTAAGACAAATTTCAACTCTGCCAAAACCTTGGCCAGCCCATAGGTTGATCATCTAAAAATCTTCGACTCCGACAAAGCTTCCTTTCATCCCTGGCACTTCAATTGTTTTCTAATGGTTTATGGTAAGGATGCTCATTTTATTTGTCCCGTTGGGTACCTGTTCAAACTTGATTCTAATGGAGTGGGTATGGACCAACCCAATTTGGGCCTTTTTTTTTAGTTATTTTTTATATATTAATCCAATCCATTCTGGTCTGACCTGCGACCCGTACTGCTCCGGACAGGCTGGTTTAAGTGAGGTACGGATAATAGAAAACCGCCCCGTACTCAACCCATTAGCATCCCTAGTTTATGGTTTTTGATAAGTTCAAACATGCAATCAAGTCGTTTCAAGCCTTGCGAAAATGACTGTCAAAGTAAAAGAAAAGGCAAATGTGAACTTTTGATCATTAAATTCTACGATACCTTTGTGCTGTAGGCGTTTTAAAACGGAATAAATCCTTTATTTAATGAAAAACAACGATTTTTTTCTTTTCCTTACATAAATGCTACTGGATGATGACAAGCTGTTTTTAGTATACCCAAAAAGATTAAAAAAAAAAAAAAAAAAGGCTAATGGCTTTTCAGCAGCTCGTGAAAATTCCTGCACTTGATTCAACATTTATCACTCTGCTTATTTTCCTATGATTCTCTTTTTTTTTCATATATACTTAATAATGTAAAACAAACTTTTATATACAACACAATCGCTCTTCACATTCCTGCAGACCACACCTCCCGAAGGAGTTCATACCTTACATTTTTGACAACATGACCGGTATGTTCCGTGTGCTTTCCATTTCTGTTGCCATTAGCCATGATACTTGGCGATGGAGGCAACTTTTCGATTATAGACGTAAGATGAGAATCCAGTTCTTCCAATTCTTCATCACTGGTATATCCTTTCCTCTGTACAACAGATACATTCCTTGACAGATGAGATTTTGCTCCTATCTCTGCTACTTTTTCTGCAACATCAGTAGAGGAAGCTGCTGTGTACATAACTGGGGCAGCTGTATAAGGGAAGTTTCTCGCAGTCTCTCCTGACAATCTCCGCTCCACAATAGTCTAGAAAAAGAAATGAAGATTTAAAAATAACTTTTTGTGTTGATTCTATTTTTCTTTAACTAGCAAAAAGTATGTTTAAGACTATATATATGTTTAGACATGGATGATGTGGTAGGGTTAGCATAGCATTTTCACCAGCAACAGTTTTCGTTTCAACAACAATTATATTGTAGGATAACACTTCTCTGGCAGCAATGTATTAAAGGTTGTGCAGAAATAAAGGAAAAACAAATTGGAAGAAAAGTAAAATCCTACCTCAGCATTCAATGCCTCTAATACATCTCCAGGGACAGCATCTGGACAGAACTCATCTGGAGTAAAGTTGCAGAGGATCCGCTTAACTAAAGGGAGACTGATTGAAGGGCATACCTGTGAAATGTGTAATGGCGTCAAGCAAACAGAGTTGGAAATTCATCAATTTAAAAAGGCATAAAAATGAGAGATCTTCATGTGCATAGTACATTTGCTATAATTATAAAACCAACCTCCTTTCTTATTGATCTGTCAATGAGCATGTCTTTTGGAAGCATGAGAAGATCACTTAAGTCATTCAAAAGATGGAAGACTTTGGGTTCACCATCTCGCATTTCATCATTGTCGCTGCTGTGCTGATCGTCTTTAAGGGAATCATCAACATCCATGCCAAACATATCACTAAGCCATCTGGACCAAGTACCAACCTACATTGAGACATACGTTCTCATATTTAGTACCACAATTATGTAACCATATCATTTGAAAACTCATTTACCACAGAAAAATATTTGGTGGATAAATAAAACTCGGTAAATTAGTGAATCCTCAGAAGAATTTGCTTGAAGATAAATGATCTCTTTAGCAAATATTACTAGTTTTTACACTAAGGAAATATATCAAAATGTTAACACGCTTTTCCAAGCTGGTAAAGATGGATGAGGCAGTAAAATTTTTAAAGCAAAGTTACATACAGAATTTTTCAGTTGTGCACCAGAACCAAAGCTCAAATCTCCAGCTGGTATAGGTAGAACCTTTGAATCAACAATAGGATCTGATACAGGGTCTGTAGGAACCTCATGGGCTGACTCACGCAGAATAGCATTGAACATTGCCACATCTAATCTGGCAACACACTGTTCCATAACCTGACACAAACAAAGAGCCGATAAGAATGTTATCCAGATCAAAATCTCCTGAAATGTTCATGGACTGTGAAGTTTCTCAGGATTCATACTCATAAATTCCATGTCTGTAAGACAACATACAAGTCAAAGATACACATGAAGAGCAACTACTACGAAAAGTATGTACCATTCTTGCAATAATAGGCAAGCAACCACACTCATGGCCTCCTGCTCTAACAGGACAAAGTCGTTGAGAGGCATCTCGAAAAGCATTCTTCCAAAGGTTGACAGAAAAGCTGCCTTGCTGCTGATCGCCCAGGGCTGGTCCCAACAACCTTCCAAAGGATTTATTGGAGGACAAACTCCCACTTGGAGATTGCATATGTGGAGTCAAAGCCTGAAAACATGAGAAAAGCACATAGAAGGCCTTCATAAGGATTACTTACAAGAAATAATCTTAGCAAGACCGTTTCATGATTTTAACTATGAAACCTGTATTGTTAGAGGGAAAATATGACTGATACAGAAGTATCTTATTTAACAGTTGGCAAATTGCAACTGAATTCAGTCAGTACCTAAGGTCTATATCAAACAAAAAGTTGGGGAGAGAGAGAGTTTATCTGATTACTTCTATTAGATGATTATTACGTGAGTCATTAAGGATCAATACAAATGATAAAGCTTGATAGCAGTCTATAGTTCTTACCTGCCACCATACTGACTCAACTATTCGAGAAAATATCCATGATTCTACTTTTTCTAATGCAGCTGTGTAGGTTCCTGTCTCCTGCCAATCATCCACAAGCTCCATAAAACCACCAACTTGTTTATGACCATAATTACCCTTCCATTTCAGTGGCATAGACTTTCCTTCACTTTTCTTGCTATCCCCATTGGACCCGGTGAACCTTGTAAGCGGACTTGAGTAGCGTGAACTGCCAAATGCCTGAGAAATGATCTCCCTCAGCACGATGGTGTTGGACAACCAGAAGGTTAACCTTAACATACAGAAGGAGATCATTTTTTAGTCTACAGCAACTGGAAGCAATACTTTAAAACAGTTTTCACAAAAAGACATATAATTACTTGCCTCGGAACATCATTACCACAGGACTTGGCAATCAAAACAAGCCCTGACACTGTGTTTTTAGCAATTGTAGCTCGCTTGTCTTGGGTCCAATACTTACAAGCATGAATATAGAGTCTAGAAAGGCGTCGTGCAGGTGTATGCACTTTGTGTGCTGAACTCCCATGCTCTGGCACCACGGAATACAGTGAAATTTCAAGAGCCGCAACTTCTCTGAGCTCCTCTTCAAGTTTCCCAATTTTCATTTCCATTTCTTCAATTCTTTGATTTAAAGCTATCTCGTTCCCATGTCCGCCATTTTCTTCAGCATCAACAGTTTCATTGTCACTTGCAATACTCTGAGTACCATTTGAGGCCTCATCCAAAGCTTCTATATCTTTTACATCTTCAACAGGTTTATCATCAGCTCCCTCAGACGACACTGATGAAGGTTTACCAGGAACTTTCATATTTTTATTATTTTTATCCAAAGAACTTTTGCTAGTAACTCTTGGTGGTTCCTTCTTTGCTTTTGCAGGTTTCTTAGGAGTGTTATTCACTGCTTTAGGTGTAGATCTACTAGCTCCAGTATCCAATCTCACTCTTGATCCACGAGAACTTTCTGAGGAATCCTTATTGCTAACACTTCTAGGTACTCTTGGAACACTTTCTACTTTCTCATCATCTGCTGTCAATGAATCTCCCTGTGATGATACTGAATCTTTTATTGTGTCAGCATCCGATTCTTCTTCCTTTCCCTGCTTAGGCTCTTTATTTAAATCACTTACACAATCATCTAAAATCCCATTCTTGTTTATTTTTTCAACTGTGGCATTGGCTTTTGGATCCTGAGGTGCCTCCTCAAACCTGTTGACATCATCCACATAATGTATAACCATGTTTTCATAAACTTCAGTGGGCTCAGAGCCCGTGTTTGAATCACTTACTAAAACACCGGTGTCTGGTTTAGCGGGCAAATTTCTAGGTTCAGTTTCCTTTCCACTCAATGATTGGTTTGGTTTTCGGTCTCTCCTTTCAGTTTTAGCAGAGCGCTTTGATTGGCTATTATTTGGAGTTCTCCTCTTGTCAGTCTCCTTCATAGTTCAGTTGCTTCGCCTTTTCCAAATACAATAAAATGAAAAGAACAAGCCAGCTGTTGTGAAAGTGGGGAGAAAAAAGCAGTCAATATCAGTACAAAAACTCTGATAAAATAACAAGCCAAATGCATTAATTCATGTAATCTCATTTTGACCTACTTATAAAGAGCCGACTTGTTCTTCCCCTTTCCTCTGTTAATTATTGAACTATTCAATTGAGTCTGCAACAACACAGCAGCAAATATGAATCAGCATCTGGTTTATGCAATGTAGGAGGAAAGTTCAGTATTTAACAATAATTAACAACTATAAAAAAACTATACAAAAATTCAAAAATTAAACTTAAAAAAAAAAAGAGAAAGAAAAGGAGGCATACAAGCTATTTGGCACAACCATGGAAAGAAGAAAAATGAGAAATATCAATAAAGCTATCTAAAAAGGGTTAGATTCAACAAATAGAAGTCAAAACAAGAAGAAATAAAGCACAAGGACCACTCGAGTTATGCTATGGATTCTTTTACAGAAGCAATGGAAACAGGGCAAGAAAAGACCAACTTTCCAAAAGAGGCAAAATAGCTCTGCCCGCAATTATGAAAATCTGCTTGTTTACTACAGTTGACAATTAAGCAAAAGTGACACTATACTAAAAAGAGGAAGTGCACTAAAGAGAGTTACTAGCAGAGCAATAAACGTGACATTGGTCACTGATCACCGGCCCTACAGATAGCATAAACTCGGTGTGAGTATCTCAGTGAGGTGGCAATCATAAGTGCAGAGAAAAAGTTCAACAGTGAAAAAGCCCAAAACGAAAGAAACAGAAGCAGACATTACAAAACGATAACAGTGACAAGAGTATACTTTTTTTTTTCTTTTACAAAAAATAATCTCGCGAACCAAACACAGATTCCAATCTAGCATAGAAATTGCCGGTTTAAACAGCTTCAAAAATTAGATCTGTTAAAACTATGGCGATCATTGAATTATATGTCTCTCTCTCTCTTTCTATATATATATATATATGTACATTGTACTGCCAGTGAGCTAAATTCAAGCATCCAGGTAAAGAAACCTGAAAATGAAACGCAAATTCAGAGAAAAACCAGAATTTGAAGCTTAAAAACAAACCTGAAATGAAAGCTCAAGCAGAACTTAAAATAAACAACCGATAAACTCCCAAGACACAAATTAAGATTAAAGAAACCAAACGGAAAGCGAAAACACAAAACAGAGAAGGACAAGATCTAATCTATCTTCTATCATATTATAAACAAAGAACAAGCAAACAAGATTGCGCTCCTCAGATCACACCATTCTCTTAAAAGCTCAAAGCAGCTCATTTCGTCACGTCAATTCTCTAGCTGTTTATTAGCCGTAGGGCATGATACAATTACAAACAGAAGCAAAACGACAAAACAATAGTAAACTAACGACAGTAAAAGAAAAGTAGAACTTACTGCAGCATTTTTTAGCTCTGCTTCCAACACCGAAATGAAGCTTTCTGAAAATGCTTAAGTAGAAGACAATCTAATCTTCGGGATTATCACTTCTCTTTCTTCTTTAAAATTTATTTCCTTTCTCTCTCTAGAGAGCGACTTTTCTCTTCCTAAGAAGACATGTGAAAATGGTCGGTGCTGTGGGGTGGAGTGGAGAGTGCAGGAACGATGGCATTTAAAAGGCGCTGGTTGTTGCTGTTATAACTTGTAAGGTTAATTACTGAAAAACCCCACAAAGTTTTTTCATACACATATTAGTACTTCTTAATTTATAAATTGATAATCTAATCCTTAAAACAACAATGAATTTATGTTTTAAATTAAAATTTATTTTGGATCTTAATATAATAACATATAAGTTATTATCATATTGTAAAGTACATAACTCTTTATTTCGTATAAATAAACTCACAACATAAGTTGGCTGGTCAATTTGTAAACAACATTGTAAATTAAGTGACTCCAACTTTTGAAAAAAATTGCAAGTTTCAAATATAAGGCCAAATAATATACAAGTCTACATAAAATTTAATTTATACGTGATAAAATTTAATTTAATTATAATAAGTTTTTTATAAAATTTAATTTTTAGCAAAATAATAATTCTTTTATATGAAATATGAAAATATAAATTTAAAAATTTTATTTATACTAAATACTGTGGTTATCTCTTCAAATTTAATATTCTCTCCGTCTTATTTTGTCTAGATGATTAAGACACATATTAAAAATTTAATCGACAAAAATTATTTTGTCTATTTTTACATTTAACTTATTATAATATTAATAAAATTATTCATTTAATGAATAATTATAGAGGTTATTATAAGAAAAGTTATTATTTAAATGTATAAACTTAAAAATCTTGTAAATATTTTAAGACATTTCAAAAACGAAATAACAAATAAATAAAACGGGGGTGAGAGTATTTTCCAGTTGTGTGAATATTAAACCTTTTGTTGATGTTTTTAAAATATGAAGGACGAAAATGTATATAAAAGTACAATTAGGACTATTTGGTAATTAAATCTTTTGTCATAATTCTGCTGTGCTCTGTACGGTCGATGTAACCGGCAGAAGCTGTCGGTGGGAAGGAATGACTGGGAGTTGCCGGTGTAAACGTTGACGCGTTGCGTGTAAGTTTTTATTGGTATACCTAAATTGCCATTAATAAGTTCTAGAATTACTGAAATGTCATTTTCTCACTAACTATCAAAGATTTATACTAGAATTAGACCGTTAAGAAGAGATGATTTTGTGTTTATCCAATAAATTGTCGGGCCCTTAGGAAGGTATGAAGGAACCATCTATGGTGGTTTTCAGCATTTGATTGATGAAATTGGGTGGTGTGAGGGTTACAATGCTTGCAGATTCAACAATGGAGATGTAGGGTAAGTAAGTATAAATTATGTGTTATTGTAGAAAAATGATGTAATTTTTGAAAAATGTGTTATTTTTACTAATATGAGTCTATTTGAAATTTGGAAGGATGGAAATACAATTCAGTGATAAATTAATGTAGATTTCAATTCACTGCTAATTAGTTAATTTCATATAAAATACATAAATTGGTTATTTACTAATTTTATACAATTAACTTAGGAAAAAATAATTTCATTTATGAGCTTAGCAAAAGTTTTGAGAATCTTAAATTTAGATAGAATATGAAATTGCAAATTGATGGTAGAAAAAGACATTTCAAATGTCTAATGTAGTTTGGTTTTTAAGTGTGATGCATTGACGAATGAGGATGTTAAATATAATATCTATTTCAAAATACTGTTCACGTTTGAAAAAATAGCTTATTTCAAAATACTTGTCACGTTTGTAGTTTCAAGATATAATAAATGTTTTTTTCATGTTTGCCATTTGTATATGACCAATAGTTATTACTTCAATTTAATGATTTTTCTTAGAAAATTATTATTAAATTAAGAGTAATATGGTGAATTTATTCGATAATTTATTATAACTTAGACAAATTTAATGGTTTTTTTAAGAAATGTGAAATTTTAAATGTAACAAGTATTATGGAACACGGTAATAATAAAAAGTAGACCTAAAACTATAAGAAGTTATCTTTATTAATTACTTCTCAATAATTAATACCAATTTTATTATAAATAGAGTGAAATAGAAACAAAAGATTTATATAATTGAATCCAGTTAATTTGAGATTAAAACTTAATTATTGTTATTTCCTAGAAAAAAGTTATTTAGTTATTAATTAAGACATTTCAATAAAAATCTGAAATGAAATTATTCTTATAATCAAAATGCGTATTACGAATATTTATGGGGAAAAAATGTTTCAATAGAAACTTAAATCATTTAGGAAATTTCAGTTCAAAATTTGAGAAATTGTCTCTACTTATCTTATTTTTTTAATAAAATCTTAAAAATGATATTTTTCTAATTTTCTGATTGAATAGATAAATTTATATTTTAAATTAGCAAAAACAATAATGATTGGTATACAATTTTTCATTTTTTAATTGAAAACACCTCCAAAAGATTTTGGCATGATATGGAACGAAACCATATACCAAATTAAAAATTATCACACAAATAATTAAAATCCTAAGCTCAAAAGCAATTCAAAGAAATTTCTAAAAAGTTGAAATGATAAATTTTAAATTTATAAATTTTTAGGGATTTAAATTTTAATATGAGTCAAAAAGTAATGATTCAAATTGTAAATTCAGAGTGAATCATCTATTCATGTAGTGATTGTTTTCCTTTCGATTAAATTAAAAAAAAAATAGCATGATAAATTAAAATTAGACCTATGATATTATTTTAATATAGATAAACATATATAGGATTTTAGTAGTCTATTGGAATTTATAGTTGTAACTTTAGTTTTGAGTTCCAGGTAAGTAATCTCTTAACCATAAAAGCTGTAATCACAATTGATATTATGAAGTTTAACCAAAATAAACAACAAATCATGCACTTGATAATGATTTTATTTTTGGCAAGGAGAAGGGTATTTCTGGTATTGTGATCAGTTTGAGATAGCCAAGCTGCCAACCACTAATTCAGTTTGACTGGCAAAATCAATGCAGCTTAGCTTCTTTACAATCCGACGAATGAACTCTCATTGAACGTTTTCAGGTGAATTATATTAATTATTTTATTTGTTTTATGTAACAGTTTAATTATTTTATATATATTATATTAAGGGAAAATTATTTTGACGTTGATGAGTTTTTATAACATTCATTGTTGCTGTTTATATAAATTTTCGGTCTGACTTTTAGTCCTCCCGTCAAAAAATAAATTTTTTATTAATTTTATATAAAAATAGACCCAAATGGTGTTATTATATCATTCCAGTCAGACCCACAATAAATTTGAAATCTTTTTTGAATGTCGTGCTGTATCATAGCTGTTAACCGATTAAATTTGATATTCCATAAAAATTTGTCATTGCTAAAATATAAAATGACTATTATATTAGTGTTAACCAGATTAAATTTGATATTCATAAAAATTTGTCATTGCCTAAAATATAAAAATGACTATTATATATATATATATATATATATTATATTCATGATTGAATGATTTATTTTTTAAAAAATTTTTAAGTTAACAATAATAATGTTCTGTTATCTTCTTCGTCTCTAATATAAAATAAAAAAAATACTGATAAGTTTTTTGATATAATATTTAATTTTTTGATATAATATTTAATAGAATTTTTTATTTTTAAATGATTATAATAAATTAATGATTAAAAAAATACTAATTTTAAAAATATAATTTATTAATAACTATTTTTATAAGATTAATTAGGGTGAGCAAAATTACTAACCGAACCAAATCAACTCATTTTGATTCGGTTTGATTTGGTGCCCAAGAGAGGTTTGATTAGTCGATTCATTTGGTTTGAACCGAATTTGTTGTTTGGTTCAATTCAGTTACACTATTTTCGGTGGTTGGGCTTAGAATTGAATCAAAATGATAAAAAATGACAACAATAGACCGAACCAATTGGTTCGGTTGGTTCAGTTCATGTCAAACTTCTGTCCGGTTTGGTTTATTATAAAGAAACTTCAATTTATATTTTTAGGCTTCGATTTGAACTGAACTGACCGTTTGCTCAACCCTAAGATTAATAGAGGCCAAATATAATATAAATACAAAATTAACTATCAATTAATACGAAAAATATTCAAAATATAGCTGATGAAATCAACAACTATTTGGGATTTTCATCAGTTATGAGTTGCTAATTAAAATTCTTACTAAATACTTAGTCGCTTATAATCCAATTGTTAGATACAAAACGGCTATCAATTATATAAATCAGTTGAACTAAATACTCTCTTAAATTGAGTTTTTAATTTTTATAATATAGCCACTGTTTTTTAGATTAGACAGTTTGATAAGAAAGAGTGCTATGAAATTACAATAGACGAGAATTGAATTTGAAAGACAAATAAAAATAAATCTTCCTTAAAAAAAAAAAAAAAGCACCCCTAGGCTTCAAGGGTTACTCTGCCTTCACGTGAAAGAGTGAGTTCAGACATAGGGGTCGTCGTGGCTCCGGAATCGCCGATTTTGGTTCTGAAACCGACGGTTTCAATTTTAAAAAATTTAGAATCAAAATTAAACCTAAAATTGACGGTTCCAATTACGGTTTGGAATCAAACAGTTATTGTTTCGATTTCGGTTTTTTAACGGTTCCAAAAACGGTTTCAGCCGGTTCTCCGATTGATTTTTTGGTATTATAAAATAAAAAATTAGGGACGTTTTTTATTCAAAATTTAAAATTTAAATATTTATGAAATAGTTTTTAGAAAAAAATTAAAGAAAAAATTTAAAAAAAGGCTTAACTTAATTTATTTATTAAAAAAAAGGCTTGAATTTTTTTTTTTAGAAAAAGGGCTTGAGCTTAATTTATTTATTTTAAATGAAAAGGAGTATTTATAGTAAATATAAAAAGTCAATTTTTCAGAAATATCCTTAAAACTAGTTGTTATATAATTGTCAGGAGGATTAATTTGAGGATTTCACAAAAATATTTGAAAAAATAAAAAAAAAATTATTGAAAAGGGGTAGAACCGCCGGTTGTAACTGCTTGGAAAAACCTCCAGTTCTAGCTAATTCCGACCTATTCTTCGAACCGCTGATTCACGGTTCCTTAAAAGTTGGAACCGGAACCGAACTGTATACCCCGGTTCCGATTTCGGTTTGGACCGATTTCGGTTCCTCACTGTTCTAGTTCTCACCAGTTCCAAACCGGCGGTTCCAATTCTAAAAATCGAAAAATGGCCACCCCTAGGTTTGGACCGATTTCGGTTCCTCACTGTTCTAGTTCTCACCAGTTCCAAACCGGCGGTTCCAATTCTAAAAATCGAAAAATGGCCACCCCTATTCAGACATGTGATTGGTTTTTTGTTATTTCTTTTTTTTTTTTCTCATCTTCCATGGTTAATTAAAACTTCTTTAAGCTATCAGCTAGTAATAAAAATTTTCCCAACTACTAAGTATATGAATTTATTTTATTTGTAACATTCTTGAATGCTCTAAATTAATTAAAATAAATAAATATTTTGAAATCAATCGAAGAGAGAATTTAATCTCAATATACGTAAAATAATCTAAAAATACTGCAATAACCTTCCAAATGACAAGCTTACTCTAATTATATGGCCTCTCTCAAAAGTTTACATAAAAAAGTATAATCATTTTGGAAAATAGTTAAAAAAAATCATTATTTTGTTAAATAATTATTTTCTTATATTATCAGAAAAAAAAAAAAAAGAAGAAGCAAAGAATGATGGAGAGAGACAGAGGTTGCACCGTCATATGTTGTCCATTTCCAGAGGGTGTGGACATGGACTGGACACCAGCGACGGTGACATTATCTTTTTCTTGTATCTAACAAACAAATACTTGTGTTTAATGAAGTTAGATAGAAAGACCCATATTTTGTTTGTCTCGAAAAGAAAATTTTCTCTGCCTTTTGCATAAGAAAAGCCAAAATTAGCTGAAACGTGAAATACCCTTTACGTTAAAAGTTTAGGCTTACACCTTTATTAATTTCTATGTCAAATACATATGTATGTGAGACCATCTATCTCACTTCACTTCATATCGTTTTTCGCATTTTAAGTGTAAAGTCTATTCTTATGTTAACTAAGAAGTTTAGAAATCTAACCTTAATTATGTTTCATTAATTGTAATCAAACTATTTATTGACATCAATTGAATCAATTTTTTTTTTTTTAAAAAAAAAGAAAAGATTAGGGATGAGGTATTCAATTTTTTTTTTTTTTAAAAGAAAAGATTAGGGATGAGGTATTCAGATCCACGGCTCATGGCTGTTTAACGATTCATGTAACACGACTTCACGTTGATTTGAAGAGATACGGAGAGTTGACTAGTGAAAATTTTAGACTGTAGTTGATGTAATGAGATATTTGTATTTAAAAAAACATATGTTACATAAACATATTCTTTAAAAATATTTTTATCTTTTATATCTGTGTTGTATTGAAGAGGATGTAATGGGATATTTGTCTTAAGGTATTAAAGTACAGTTCAGTTGGTGAATGTGTTAAAGTGTTATGGAGTTGGTGAATGTATATATATATATTAAAATCTTTTTAATATTAATTTCTTTATTAATATTAGAAAACAAAACACAAAATTAAAGAAATATGTCTTCGTTCAACTCCGAAGGGCACGTAATTGACTCTACGGTATGGATAATACAAAGTCATAATTAGAAAGATTTTTGAATTCTGAACGTCACTAGACTTACAGTAAGAAATTGTAATTCAATGGAAACAGAAATGACCAATTCAATTTTTTAATATAATAATTATATTAATGAAACGTAACTTGAGAGGAATAATAAAAAGGCACGTTCTAGTCATTTCAACTACAAAAGTTTATCATTAATATGACGAAATTATTCAAAGAAAAAATCTAAATTCCTGATATATTGCCTACACTTTTCTTCGAGTTCATTGGTCCCGTGAATAAGTCTGCTTTAATAACAAAATAAGCTTTAATAAGGTAGTTCTATATATTATGTGACCTTTCTATCTCTCTTTTTTAATAATTTTATTTATTATGCTTCAATAACAAAATAAATTAGTTTTTATTTTTAGTAAATAAGCTTTAATAAGTTTAATAAATTTGAAGCTTTATAAGGTGTGAGATTTTATTAACTTAAAAAAGAATTTTAATTTGATTTTTATTAATGATAATATTGTGTTTCATTTTTATTAAAAAAGGCACATCTATTATTTTCAAACTTCAAAAGGTAAAATTAAACAGAAACAATGAAGAAGAATCCAAGAAAGAGCCAAACCCTAGTGTTCTTTTCATTTCTTTTCTTGTTTCCCAACAAGTAAACAAAATAAATCTTTTTACCCTATATATTATGCAGTTTGATAATAATTATTTAAGCTCTAAAGGAATCCAATGCTCTATACATTAAAAATAGCTATAGCTAGCAAGAGAATCCTTTCAAGGCCTCAAGTAACATGAGGACATCCAAAGGAAAATGGTAAGCAATTTCTAATGTAGTTCGCATGTTGAACCAGCTAAGCATATCTAATAGAATAATTAAGACAAACACAAAAAAGAAAAAGAAGAAAAAAAAAATCAAGATCCTTGTTGTCCAATTGATTAGGCATACAAACAAGTGTCCCAAGATCCAATCTTGATGTATGTTTGCTTCATTGCCAACGTATCATATTACAGAGCTTCTCAGCATATTATCTAACTCTTGAGATTTTATTTAATTGATAAATTGGTTACTATATTTTAAAAAAATGAGTTAATTTTCTACTATTTTAAATAACTCTTAATTTCTAATTTGATAATAAATATTAAAAAAGAAATAAGCTTGAACTTAGCTTATTTAGTGTGTAAACAAATTAAACTCGAATCTAATATATACACACACACATACATACGAATTGAACCTAATAAGTTAATAGCATTAATATTAATTTATTGATATGTTCAGTAAACCCTAACAGAATGATTATTTTGATAGCAAAATTAAACTTGAAGGAATATTTGAATTTATTTCATTTTTCAAAAAGCAGGAATAAAATTAGTTGATTAGCTCAAATCTAAGATACTAGATGATAGTTTACTCTGTTATCAATGATACCAATTTTTTTTTTTTTTTTTTTTTTTTTTTTTAATATTAGTTTACTCCTGTTTATCAATGATACCAATTTTTTTTTTTTTTTTTTTTTTTTTTTTTAATTCATTTGAATTTTTTTTTTTTTTTTTTTTTTTTTTTTAATTTCATTTGACTTGAGAAAATTGTACAAAATTTATAAAATTAAATCTCCTTCATTTGGTCTTTCTCCCAATGGGCCCAAACCCATGTCTTATGATAATAGACCCACATTTCCTTGTGTATTTAGGAAATAGTATATATTATAGCTATATGGTTTTTTGTGTACTGTGTGTCCAAGCAATATTTTGAAAGAAAGGCGATAAATAAGTATTACCCACCGGAGTTTGATCCTTCAAGACTGCCGAGAAGAAAAAGATCGCACAATCGGCAATTGAAGATAAGGAATATGCTTCCAATTAGAATCCAATGTAAACATTGCGTACTTACATGACGGAAGGGAGCAAATTCAATTCGCGCAAAGAAATCGCTTGTGGTAAGACTTATTTTTAGGTATCAAAATAATCAGATTCTACCTAAATTGCAGAAATTGTTTATCTGAAATCGTTTTTGAGACCGATCCACGAAATTCCGGTTATGGTGGCTAGACAATGTTATGTAAGCGAAGAATTTGATGACGATGAAGAAGATACTGTTAGGGTTAAGGATTCGATGGAAGAGTTAGAAAAGAAAGCTCAGGGTTTGAAAGAGAGATGGAGATGGTTGATGCATTGAATGAACTTCAATCTTTGAAGTCTATGCATGAAACGGTGAGTTCTGATGGAATATTTAGGGCATTACAGGAAAAGGAAAAGAAAGAGAAGCTATCGGAACAAGAAGACGAAAAGCATATAAAGTTTCATAGAAAACAAAAATTTATCCGACGGATATATGATGGCGATGGCGATGGCGATGACGATTTTAAAATTTGTTTTGAAAAGAAAAAAAGATTATCGGAAGTTGTTCTTCTAGCAAGGTTAAAATGGCAGAAACTTTAGGGATTAGGTTTAGTGTTAGCGCAAAACCAAATTTGATTTCTAATGTCAGGAATATGAGAAGCCAAGAAGAGGGCAGAGGAGATGTTACAGGCTCTAGATTGGATTCACTATGGCAGAGTTACCAATCTGAAGAAGATTAGTCAAAATTATTAGGTTATGTGTAATAATTAGTCATTGGATTATTGTTATTTGTTAATAATGACTCTACAATGCATGCATTTATAAAGCAGATGGAAGCTTTTGTTTTTCAAATCTGATTATGTGATTATAATGTTCAAATAATGAAAATTGAGCATTTAGAATTTGATATTATCCCTATTTTTTACGGTTTTAAACTTCAAACATTTCTTGTTGCTGTTGACAGATCTAATGCCTTGACATGTTGTCTCTCCCAAGCATCTGCCTCCCTTCATAACTGCATTCAGGTACTCTAATCATCGCCATGTTTCTTGATACTAGTCTCCTTCAAAGGCCTATAACTTCAATTCGAAACAATAAAGCTCCTCCATTAAGTTTCAACAATCAACCCTAATAATGATATAATCAATGTCTCACTCCAGTTTATATAAACCAAGTAAATCCTTATTGTGGAGCACTGGGAAAACTAAGTTAAGGAGTCTACATGCATCTATTGACTGACTTACAAACAACACCCCCTGCACGTAAAACTAACAAGACATATTCCTCTATGAACCGCATGTTACTAATATATTCTACCCCTTTTTTACTCCATATAACATAGTTAGAAGACTATAGTTAATTGCTTGAGTACACTAATCCAGGAAAATTGCATCTATAGGTGCCGGATTTTTCACTTAATTTCAATAATCATTTTAGTTCAGTTTGGCTCCTCAAAATCATTGAACACGTCAAACAGATACAGACCAAATTTTTGTCCAAGTGTATTCTGAGTCTGAGAGAGATGATAGTAACAAAACAACAACAGCAACTAAGCCTTAATCCCAAACTAGGTAATAGTAACAAAACAACAACAGCAACTAAGCCTTAATCCCAAACTAGGTAATGTTGGCTATATGAATTCTTTACTTCCATTCAATTGAAACAACAAATGTTCAGTAATTTTTTTACGAGTCAAACTGAAATCACGGTGCAAAGTTTGGTGTGTAATTTAGCATACTAATCCCACCTAAAGAGACCCCACGATTCCTCTTCTACCAGGAAATAAAAAAGGTATGTCATTCTCCAAAACTCTACCAAAATACAAATCACAGCAAATAAAAGTTATCATATATGTGAAACCTTCTAAGGGAAATAATCAACATTAAGCCACCTTCATCAAACTGCAGTTTCAGTGCAACAGTATGTAAACATGGGTATAATCCACCAGTACTAATCCTGCCCAAATGAAAAATCATGATTCCTCTTCTACCAGAAAAAGGATTGATAAGTTATTCCCTAAAGAACTTTCTGATAATACAAATAACAGCACACTAAATAAAATCATCACATATGTGAAAGCTTCTAATGATACCCATGAACATTACATTAATCCATCTCCCTCAAATACATACATGAAATGAAACCTTTCACAACATATCTAGTCATTCATCCACATGGTATAATGGCAAACCCCATGATATTGATAACTTAAAGTTTTAATAAAACATCTGAATTCACACCAAATTCTAAACTAGACATCACTGAACTAAATAAGTGAATATGCAAAGCTCTAGGTTTCCTCAACTGAAAGGCAGCAAAACAAGATTACCAACTAAAAGCAAGGACAAAATAAGCTGAAACGACCTGCTGGTGGAATAAGTCAAGAAGGGGCCAAATTCAAGCAATGATTTTCATTCAAGAAAGGCAAGAGGTAGTAAGCTAAAGGTTACGATGAGGAGAACATAGTGGTTTGGAAGCTTAAGCTATGCATTTAAGGAGGGTGAAACCTTCGATCCAACTTGTTTCACATAATCTCAATGATAAAGATTATTCACCTAGCTAATTTAACAATGTTTCACTGTCACATACTAACTCCTTTCATGCCCAAAATCGACTAGACCACCACTAATTGGGGATAATAAAATTTAATTTTCTTTAACACCATTGCAACCCAAATAAAGAAGACAGCTAGCATAAAAATAATTAACATGACAAGATCCAAGCAATCCCCAATTCATGGCCATGTTCTAAGATTCTGATAGTTTAATCATACGGAATTAACTACAAAGATTTTGTTGATCCAATTCAACAACCAAAAAAAAATCAAAGAGCAGTAAACAAAAACCAAAATCTTATTTCTAAAACAACTAAATAATTTAAATCTCAAGATTACATTACAAAGTAGCAGAAACTTATGCTGGCAAACTTGTACAGGCTCCAAGGACAAGTTCAACATTTGGGAAACCTTATTCGACCAGATAGAACATAAATCACCAAGCAAAACTCACACAACGTCCTGAGAAGTCAATCTAGAAGAAGCTTCCCAGATTAAGGTTCAAGAGAGATTAAGCTGAACAAAGTTCAACAAATCAAAAGGTCAAGCAACAAAACAATCAAGAGGACTTGAGGATCACTAAAATCTTTACATGGAGATAGAAACATCTTCTAAAAACCAATTTTTAAGTCAACTAAAATCGAAATGCATCAACACAACTACATAATACCTGTAAAAACTTATATACACATAGTAAAGACACCAATAAAGATTATAAAGTCAACAATAATCGAAGTAACAACAGCATTACGCTCAAATTCTTTAGTCAAGGTTCTTGCGAACTAATCAAAGTTCATAATCATCCAATTCAATTACCCACTTAACGAGTAACAGACATTATTGTATTGGAACAAGCAAATTTAAACTCGTTGAAACTTTATAACATCAGCAAAATCCCAATTAACAACTAAAATTTTGCAGTAATTAAGTTCCATGTAAGAACCCAAATTTTCATCATAGTCAAAATCCTTTTATTGAACTACACATTATCAACAATAGATAAAAAGTTCACCGCCCAAGAGAAAAAAACCCACATAACTTTCGAGCCAAAGAGTCGTAAGTCATACCCAAGATCACGATTCTACTCCTCCGATTCACCAGAGCCAGAGAGACCCAACTTTTCCATTTCTAGCCGTTCGAGGGCCTTCTGGTGCGCCCAGGTCTCGATGGTCAGATCGGGCTTGGCGTTCAATCCAACTCCAAGAATAACAATGGTCAGGAAGCTAGTGATGTAGCAGGGCAACTCCCAGTCCTCCCATTTACGAGACTGACCAGCTGGAGGTGGGGTGCGGTTGAATAGGTAACCCTTAGGTCTCTCCTCGTGTCCTGGAGATGTCCAGCGGCTAGTTCCAGCTGCACCGCCTCCGCGTGTACGGAGAGAGGATGCTAGGCGCTGGCGGAGCATGGTGGACGCCGTCGTAAACGGTTGTGGAGAGGGCATAGGTTTGGCCGGTGGAGTCACAAGAAGTCGAAAGAGGGAGGTATAGAGGAGACTGAGCTTTGATTTTGTGAAATTTAGGTGTTTGGCAGAGATCTCAGAAAAGGATACGGCGTCGTTTCCGCATTTTAACGATAGACTAGGCTTTTTTTTTTTTTTTAAAAAAAATTAAGTTTACACATTTATTCAAAAAAAAAAAAAAAATTTAAAAAAAATAAGTTTACACATTTTATTCAAAAAAAAAAAAAAATACGGCATTTAATTTATAGATGAGACAACAAGAAAGTCTCGAGTTCGGGAAAAAAAAAAAAAAAATACGCATTTAATTTATAGATGAGACAACAAGAAGTCTCGAGTTCGGTCCTAATTAAAGAGTGATCTTTTCGTGGGCCTACCAGAACTTGATTAAATTGATTTAGACTACTGAGCTTTTACATGCCTCTATGATTTTTAGCTCAGTTTAAGTGATTTTTAATTGATCAATAAATTAGAAAAATATTTTTTTTTAAGGAAGAAAAATATAATATTTTTTAAAATATATAAAATATTTATATTTAGTTTGCATTATCAAGCAGATCATCTAAGTAACCTATTCAGGGATAGCTTGAAATGTTATACTTCCAAAAGCACAATGAATTCATCAAATATATATTATGTTGGTTTGCATATCAACAATCAAATTATATTTTCTGTAAAATAATGTTATTAAAGTGTTTTTTTTTTTTTAAATATACTTTTCATTAAATAGAATATTTTAACCAAATAAGACTTTAATTTATTTGTTAATTAATTAAGCATAAATTACTTCTTTGAGCTTTACAGCTCGATTTAGTTATCCCTTTATACGTTTAGGTCGAAAGTAATATTTTATAATCAACTGTATTTTGAAATAGCTGATGATTGCTTTATCCGTTGAAAAATGCAACTTAATGACCAAAAGTGATTGTAGGTGAGCTGAATCAAGTTTGTTTGTCTGAGTTGAACCAATAATAATTTGTTTATCTGAATTTGCAAACCAAAGATAAAACTTTCTTTTATACATGATTTAATAAGTTATACTTATTGAATGAAAATTTATCCTTACAATTATAAAATGATTCTAAATACCATTTCTTAATTTTTTTTAGTTCAATAAATTTTATTTTTGATTCAGATTCAAAATTCAACCCAAATAAATGACCATTAAATCTTCATAGTGTATTCTTATATATACATACATTAGCTTATTCTTTTATCATTCTTGAACTTTTTGAAAATGTTCTTCTGAAATTAGATTTGCCAGATTCATATATTGAAATATTCTATTCTGCTAATCTAATTCGCTACTGTCTGATTTTATACACAAGTTGCATATTTTGGATCATAGCATTTCAACATAACAGTTTTGGGGAATAAAGCGCACAGAGACTTCACTTGGAAGACCTTAGCTTAGACTCTGAGTTTTAGAAATTCCAACTCATCCCACTTTTGGACATTGCTTTCGCTTCCATTGGTAGGTATATCTCTCAAGTTTTGCTCGAGAATGCAAGGGTGCTACCATGCTGGAGAAGATGATCATACTATACTCTAGCTGTAGTCTTGCAGACCAGAAAAACTGATTCAAGTAACTAACCAATCGTCAAGCTTACCAAGATCTTCTCCTCGTGCTGTTGTTCTGTTGCTTAACTCAACCTGAATTCAAGAAATTTGTCAATCAGAGCTTCCGTTGCACAATATCTTTCATATTTATAAATATAACCACTTTTAGGGCATTGATGGGAACGGTGGCAGCAATAGAATGATGAAGTAAGGCTTTCATATTCCCAGATTGTTTTTGTCTTGATAGCTGAAATTTTTCACGTTTTAAGCTGCCATTGTGCACCTTTCACCTCACCACAAGTAAAATGGATCTTCTACAACTTGAATACCTAACTGAATCAATGAAATATCATTGGTAACATGAAAAGAAGAGTGTGGTTAGGCAGTTGTGACTGAAATCCCGTCGCATAGTCGCCTGATAACTCCAACCAGAACCTATAAAGCAACAAGCCCTGTTGCATTTTTCAGAGGCACAAGCAAATATATATTCATTTGACTAAAAATCTTCAGAAATCACCAGTAGTCACCACAAGAACATATTCCTCCAACGATATGATGGTACCGGTTCTTATCTCTCAGAGACACGTGTCTTCCATAAATCTTTGATATGTATTTGGCAAAATTGTGACAATCAACACAAATCCGAAGGTTTTTTATCACACGAATTGGGGCTCTATCAGGCGCAGCAATGAGTCCAAAAGCCAAAGCCAGTTTCTCACTATGGCCTAGAAGTATTTTCTCCTTTTGCTCTTCATCCACATCATATAAAACAGAACTCAAATCAGGCACGTAGCCAGCTTCCTTGAACTTGATTGATAATTCCTTTGCCTTCAAAACCACCTCTTCCCTTCTTGGATGAGAGCGATCACTTGCATGAAAAGTATGCAGGGTTTGGTCAAGTTCAATCCAGCTTTTCCCTGGCTCCTTCATTACAGCTTTATTGATCATCAATTCCCGTACTTTTCTCACATCTTCCCATCTCCCTGCAGAAGCATATAAATTAGAAAGGATAACATAATTTCCAGCATTTTCAGGCTCCATTTCAATAAGTCGATGACCAACAAATGCACCAATGTCTATATTCAAGTGAACTCTACAAGCACCCAAAAGCGAACCCCAGATGGCAGCAGTTGGTTCAAAAGGCATCTTTTCAATAAATTCAAAGGCCTCTTTCACTCGGCCAGCACGCCCAAGCAAGTCAACAATGCACCCGTAATGTTCTATCTCTGCCTCAACCCCATCATTCCTTTTCACCATCTCATCAAAGATTTCCAGTCCTTTATCTTCTAATCCTCCATGGCTGCAGCCTGATAGAACAGCCAAAAAGGTCACACTATCAGGCTTAACTTTATTTTCTTCTCTCATCAATTTAAAGAGCTCAATTACTTCCTGTCCCATTCCATGTTTACTATACCCCACAAGCATTGCATTCCATGAGATGACTGTTCGCTCAGGCATACTATCAAAGATTCTTCTTGAATAATTAAGGCTTCCACATTTTGAATACATATCTATCAGAGAATTCTGAAGAACTACATAGAAAGGTAATTCACGTCTAAGAATATGGTTATGTACTTGTTTGCCATGATCTAATGCAGCAAGTCCGGACAATGCAGTTAACACACTAGCATAAGTAACATAATTTGAACTCATTCCTTCTCTTTGCAATCTTTGAAATAGTTCTAATGCTTCTCCATCAAGACCTAATTGCGCATAGCCTGAAATTAATGCAGTGCAAGAAACAACGTCCCTTTCTGGCAAGCTTTCAAAAACCCCTCGAGCTTCAAGGATTCTGCCAGCTTTGGCATACATGTCAAGAAGAGAGCTTCCAACAAATATATGGGATTCATACATACGCTTTATTATGAGGGAGTGAATTTGCCTTCCCAGCTCAAGCCCAGATGAACCAGTGCAAGAAGTTAGTATAGTAGCAAAAGTAAACTCGTTTGGCGCTGTATCTGCACAAATTGCTTGCCAATATCAGTAACACAATCTCATTACTTAGCCATTGCATGAAATAAAATTTTGGGGAAAAAAAATTGCCCATCTAACCACTACTTGTAGCAGTTGAGATAATTGCCCATTAGCCACTCAAATCATCATCATGGGTATAACTGAGCTGAGTCAAGTTGATACATTATACTAGTCGAACTCAACTAGAATAGACTAGAACTATCACTCATTCACACCCCCTAAACATCATAAAATTCATTCATCAATAGTGAGTTAGCTTTCGCTGTAAGAATATATAATTTTTTTCTCATATAATTGCAAGTCAAATTTGAAATATTTCATTAGTATCTTCAACCACCAAGATCAACTGAGAATGTCATAATAACCCTCTCAAAATAAATAAATACCTGATCTCAACATCTGTAAAAAAAGATACAATGCTTCAAAAGCAAGCCCATTTTGAGAATAGCCCGAAATCATCGCTGTCCAAGAAACGACGTCCCTTTCAGTCATTTCATCGAACACATGTCTTGCAAAACCCAAACACTCACATTTGCTGTAAAATACAATCAACCTGTTTCTAAGGTACAAAGGTGGAAGATAACGTGCTTTTATCATATGGGAATGGACCCTTTGGCCTTCTCTAATGGCCTTTTTGTTAATGCACTGGTTTAGCAACTTGTTGTAGCCAGCAAATCTCATTTCAGGACCATGAAATGCCATTTCTAATAAGGCCTCTTGCAAGCGGCCTGCGCCACATAATGAACTTAAAGTTCGTTGTAATGGCGAGATAGAGAATTGGCGGCTTAGTAGTTTAAAGGCTGCATGGTGAAGAAAGAAGTTGACGCTATGGAACAATTTCATATCCTTCGGCTTAATAAAAAGAAAAAAAAAACGTTTCTCAAATTCTTTTTCCAATTTCTAAATAAACGGAAATAAATATTTATATGAAAGTTTGGACCAATCAAACCCTTAATTTTTTTTTAAGGGTAACTAACTATTTAATCCCTCATACTTAATCATAATTACAATTCATCTCTCTTATTTAGCAAATACATTAATTAGTTCTCTATTCAAAAAGTGTTACTCTTGCTGTAAGTAAAGGATTAAAAATAATCCAATAGTAAAAATGAGAGATTAAATAATATTAAATGTGAACAACTAAATATCAAATATTACAGAATACTTAATCTCTAAAATGACGTTTTTTTTTTTATGAAATGATAAAAATTAAATGTAAGAGAGATAATCCTTTATTACACATCTCTAAAGGCCTATTTTCATACAAAAAAATCTGGAATTCAAATCCAGGTTCTAATCCAAGAATAAAGACAAAGTGAAAGCAGTTTCTCCAAACTAATTCATTGTTTAGACAAATCAGAATGGAAATTGAAAAATGAAATGTTATTTACAGTGGAGGGCCTGAAATCAAGAGGATTATCCCACTGCTCCTTTTTATTATCCGACCATATCATAGACACATTCTCAATCTCAAACCCTTCAATGTGTTCCATGATGATTCCAGCTGCACCATGTTTAACTAAACCTTGGCAACCAGGTCTATAATCTACTAATCCACCTGCATATTTTGTCCATCTTCGATAAGTGAAAATCATGTTAATGAATCTCAAATTGCTCAATAAGCCTCCTTTAGATCCTGATAAGAAAATCCCATTTTCAGAAGTTGCTGTTATGTTAATGAAGAGTAAGTTAGATATGGAGCCTTCTTTTGAACTCGAGTTGCGAGGGCATGTCGTCACGTAAATAGGCTCTGCTCTTCCCCACCACAATGGATCATAGTATCTTGTACTGATCTTTATGTTTGAGAAAGTGATGCCATCCACATTTCCTGCATTAGTTGAATACTAGTGATTAGAATTTTTTTTTTTGGAGCCTTCTTTTGAACTCGAGTTGCGAGGGCATGTCGTCACGTAAATAGGCTCTGCTCTTCCCCACCACAATGGATCATAGTATCTTGTACTGATCTTTATGTTTGAGAAAGTGATGCCATCCACATTTCCTGCATTAGTTGAATACTAGTGATTAGAATTTTTTTTTTTCAGGTATTGAGAAAGATCTTGAAGAAATCTATCGATGAGCTTTCATTTGTCAACAAAAACACAATTCAGGTTTTAAGTTGAGCTTTCCATACAAAATCACACAACTTGTGAAACAGCAATGGCTAATTCAAATTTTAAATTTGTCTTTCAGAATTTACAAAGAATCCATTTGGCATTGAGGTTTAAATCGTTCGAGTATTGCTTAGTTGTTCTAAAAGTTTCTGTGATTAGGATAATGTGGAATTCACATTAAAAACAAACTTTAGTGAGTTATAATACTCGAACCATAATGCCAAATCGACCAAAAACTATGAATTTCTATTAAGCATCAATAAAGCTGGGTTCATTTGAAATATTACAATTAGCATCTCAGTATTCATTCACAAAATTGATAGATATTGCATGGGCATGGTTGAAAATGAAAGATGTTACCCACTCCTAAATGAGTTATGATCACCAAATAAGCCAATGAAAATCTATAGCTTATTTATCCATATTCATAGAACATCAATAGTTCAACTAATAGCTGCTGAATATGCAGCCAATCAGCATGTTTTGCCATTGCTTAGAAATCTTTATTTCTTATTTAAGCAATTTGACAATATTTTTACACTTTTTCAAGGCATATTGGTCAATAATAAAGACACTTCTGCCGAGAATAGTAAGAATATGTCTTGTATTTAAATCCTTGAAGGCGTGTATATGCATCACATTTTGAAAGAGCAGATTCAAATTTAAAAACTAGTCGAAAACTTAGGTTTCTTAATGCATCAACTAAGAATATAACTTCTCCATCATTCATATTTCCAGCTTTTACTTCTTGTTTTTTTTCCCTCTTAATGAGAACTTACTTAAATATAATCATTTCTATCTGGTGAAAGAAAGAAGAAATTACCTCCATCACGGATCTGCAGTCCTAACCCTCTGTGAGAATCAACAATAGTGATATTGTCAAATACCAGATCCTTGAAGTCAAACAAACTAGCGCTCCCAAGCTTGATTGCAGAAGATTTTGTTCGAATCCAGCAGTCTGTTGCAGTCAGGTTATAAAGGGGGCCAGTATATGTCTTTGGGCAGATTGCATCATCTCCTGTATTAATGTGACACCTTGTAATAACAGTATTATTTGAATCCTCTATATCCATCCCATCATTATTAGGCGAATTGAAGTCACCATATATTGAAACATCATGAATCAATGTATTATGGCACCGGACTATGTGTAAGCTGCAATAATGCAATCCATTCATCAGATATATCCAATAAAATAAATAAATAAATAAGAGTGTCAGAATCATGGAATACATGCACGATTGAGCAGCAATCAAGTGAGAAGTTGAATTCAATTATTTTATCTTCTCAACTGATAAAGTTCTGTTTGGAATTGCTGTTAAGAAAAATATTATGTTTAAAGTACTAATCAGAGGTCATTGAAGTTTGTTTTTAAGATAAGTTACATATATTTCAATCATTAAAGCTTCAAAATAGCAAGATGACATTTCCTAACTTTTTTTCCAAAACAATGATCTTTCAGAAAAATGATTTCAACCTACTCTAAATTTTATTACAGACTCAATTAATATCATTTTACTGGTTACTCTAAATTGATGGTTTGACCTATCCAATCAAAACAAGCACATGACAGCTCTGCTTCCTATCAGTTCTGAATGATGAGTGTATTTTGTCTCTTAACATCAAGCATAAATAATTCCTTCATTTCTTTTCAAAACACGTTTAACACTACCTGTCCAGTATGATCTCATCTTCTTTCTTTCACAGTTTTACTGCTTCCACAACTTCATTCTTATCTAATTTTCTGGTGTTATTTATTTTGTCAATAGTTTCCAAACTTTAAAAAATTCAATAAAATATGTATTTGTCTTGATCCTTCAGTCCACTTCTTAAGTAGGCTGTTTCTCCAAGCAAGATTCTCAATTGCAGGTGTCACATAACATGTAAGCAAGATATCATCCTTAGTTCCTTGTAAGACTAAGCTTCTATAATTTTCTCTTGCAAATTAATTAAAAACAACAACACAAATCACAAATGATAGAAACAGGAAGATTTTGAAGATTGCAAGAAGAAAGAGACATGGCAAAGCGTAGGGTCAAAGGCAAAGGCATGATGATGATGGTCATGGTCCCAAGCCTACCACTGGTAATTTAAATTGGTTACCAATCAAACCAGCTGGACTCTCTTATTGTTTAAATGGGATCCACCAACATCGTTTAACGTGTCCATTATCAGTTTAGGAGTCCTGTAGCTTTCTCTATCGATAAGATAAGAATAACATAAAACAATTATTCGCCAACCCACAACCAATATTCAACTGTTCATCCATAAGAGCAGTCAACCCTTTAAGGATAAGAATTTAATTTCATTGAAAATTTTAAGTAAATTATTGCATAAGGGTATCCGTGTAATAATTGAATTACAGACTTGTTCTTCTATCCATCCAAAAAAATAATTTATCTTTATAAAATATTTTTCAAATAATGTATTATCTATTTTTCAGCTATAATATTAATAATACTAAATTTTTTTGTATTTTAAGTCACTCTAAGTTTCCATTAAGCAATAGTTTTTAAGCAACCGCTTTTAAAAGTAACTTTTAAGATAGTATTTTTTTTTTTTTTTTTTTTTTTTTCATTAAGCAATAGTTTTTAAGATACCGCTTTAAAAGTAAATTTTAAGTAGTATTTTTTTTTTTTTTTTTTTTTTTTTTTTTTTTTTTTTTTTTGACATTTAGATAGTATTTATAGTATTTGGTCTTTTCGCAATCATATTAGTATTTAGAGATTTGTTTAAATTATGAAATACTAATTCAGCTAATGATTTCTTGGAATGCGATTAAAATAACTAATTTTCCTATTCCACAGATGTTAAAACAGAAAATTCAATAAAATATTTTGTAAATAAATTAATTTTCAAAATAAACAAATTAGTTAAATTTTTATTTTATAATAACAATTATAAATTTTGCGTTTCACCTTACAAACAAATTCAAATTTAACGATCATCAGTTGAGAATTGACAAAAAGAGGAGTTTGCAGGTGAACTTACCACCAATAAGCCGGTTCTCGTAACCTTATATTCCAAACGCGGACATTTCTACAGCCAATGAATCCAACAAGCCGCGGTCTACATTCGTCTCCCAAACAAGCACCGGTCTGATTCCAACTCACCATTACATTCTTTATCTTATTAAATCTCTGCACAAACTTCAGCCCTTGCCCATCCACCACACCGCCGCCGGTGATCCCTACATCACTAGCGTTTTCCGCTAACACAACGTACCACCTCTCGAATTCCTTTGGATAGTCTTCCATCTTCGTGCCTCCTAATAAAGTGGCGCCTTTTTGAATGTTTAGAATGACTTTGGATTTTAGGCGGATGGTGGCGGTCAGGTAGGTTCCCGGGGGAAAGGTGACGTGGCAGGTGGTGGATGACGAGCAGGCATCGATAGTGGATTGGATGGCGAAAGTGTCGTAGTGGAGGCCATCGCCGGTTGCGCCAAAATCAGTAACGGAGAGGGTGGTGGTTTGGAAGGGAAGTTGAATAGTGGCGATTGGTGAAGGGCCAGGATGCGATTGGAGAAAAGGGAGTAGAATTAGGTGACTGATTAATTGGTAGAGTCGAATTGCCATTGGCGGAGAGTAAAGGAGCTTTAGCTTAGGCTTAAGCTTTTCTTATTGGCTGTTTGTTTGACCTGTTAACTGTTATGGTTCTACTGTCTAAAACAGAATTTGGATAAATCAGTAATCTAATCAAACTTATATATGGCTACAGCCTACAAGCAACTGACAAACTATTTTCTTTTTTTAATTTCTTTTTGCATGGACAATTCTTTATTCTTTTTTCACACAATATTTCTAATTAATTACTATTTTATAGAATAATTATAGAATAATAATTGGTCACTCGTTCTTGATATAAGGTTTCATAATTTGATTAATCTAATTTCTAATCAATAATAAAAAGAATTGAAATTGTGAAGTTAAATTTGATCATATATGAATTCTCCATCTAGGTAGTTTATGCGATTGTATTCCTTTTTCCCATTTTAAAATTAGATATTTTCAATCAGTATCTAATATTAATAATTGGGTTCATGCTTTTTAATGTCGTTTTAAGATCAATATTTTTTTATTTTTTTTCCTTCAAAAAAGAAAAAAGATCAATTACAATTATTTTTCATTTAAATATGAAAATTCTTAATGCAAATATTTTTCTTCACAAGAAGGTTCAGAGAGAGGGGGGTCAGGGCTTTAATTAACCAAAAGCAATAGACTTTGAGGAGAAATATTTGCAAACAGAAAAAAAAAGGCAACTTCAATAATAGTTGAGGGATGGATGATGAATCATTCCTGAGTCTGATTTTCTACAACATGAATCAATCAATCAGCCATCTCATAAACTGAAGAATTAGATTGAATGACTCTCAAAAGTTAGTATATATATAGAGAGATAGACATATATGCAGTGAATCATATTAAAATATATTTATATTTATATATAAATATAAGAATAAGATTGAAATTTCTCATCTCTATTTGAGAGAATTTCCGGATCTCCAACCCACTCTGTTAAATAGTTGTGGAAACCCGAGATGAATGTCGAGGCCTCCCCCTCTACTTGCTGCTAATTGCTAATATTTGATATATACATGCTATCGATAAAGCTTCATCTTGCCTTCATAGTTCCATTTTCAATTGATTCGAGTGCAGAGATGCTGCATCACGATCAGAATCTGCAGTTAGTCTTAAGGTTTCAACCCATTCATCAACGGGAAGAAATAAGAAAAAGAAAAACCAAATAGCTTTCTCATCCAACATTAGTCTGCATAAATGAATTGAAAATACAAAGTAATAGGTGATATGTAAAATTGGAAGGTGATATGTAAAATTGGAAGCTAGCAAAGTCAACTACTTGTGCCATCCTTCACATCCAAATAAGGTTTTGTTTATTTCACATACAATTAAAAATATATAATTGAGATTTGGGAGAATTTCAAAGTTTGTACATTTGGACATCTGAACTGAATTCCTTTCGCATTCACAAGAATTCAGACGACAGAGAGAAAATAGAAGTAATAGCCATTTTTTTAGTACTTTCAGTAGAAAGAATTTGAGAATCAGCAAATTGCGATCTACCTGAATTGGCTGAGGAATCATAACTCAAAAGGGAGTTCTCAGGAGTAATGAAGTGATAGCTGTCTTCTCTTCCCCAACTTGGCTGATGAAGTGCATCAAAATGCCATTGCTGTTGATATTGTTGTCTGTTCCCATTAACTTGTACTTCAGGCCATGTGAAAGGCACAACCATGCTATGGAAATTACTGTCCATTAGAGATCCACTCTGCAAGTTTAAAAGGAAGACACAAGGTATCAGCAGCAAGTATAAACATGATCATCAGCAGTAATTATCTAATCTGATCAAGGAAATACAGAAGGGTTATTTCGCTACTATACTTGGTGGCCACATTGAACAACATGGGATCCTGTAATTAACCAACCACATTCATTTCCACCGAGTACCATCGTATTTTAAACTATTACGTATTTGTGGCATAATGTATTCTTCCTTCCCCTCTTTTTTTTTTTTTTTTTTTTTTGCCTTGCATGAATGACATGACTAAATATATGATGGATTCCTTCCCCTTTTTTTTTTTTTTTTTTGCCTTGCATGAATGACATGACTATATATGATGGAATAGCACATAGATTGGTCACATATCTTTATCAAAGAGAGCCTTTAAACATGCATCCATAATTTGAGGACAAAAGGCCTTTCACTTGGTTGTCACCTTCATTCTAGAGAACAGATAAAAATTATGTAGGCAGATGGAATGGTGTGGCCAAATCAGAAATCTGCTTTGCACGTTGGTTATCAAAGGGAACTTTCCTTCTAAAAGAATGTACGGGAAATTCCAGTAGGAAAAATATTACTATAATAAAATGTTTGTATCAGCCTACACAATCAGGCACACACAATTGTACCCTCATAGGTAAATAATATAGACTTGCATATTAATCAAGTATAAAATAGCATTAGAACTGTATCAAGCAGATCTACTGGATCAGCCTCTCAAGGAACACAGCCCAACAAATAAATAGCTACAAATTGTCTCGATTTTGGCATACTTACAGCATGAACAAGAGGGAGAAGAAAAAGAAGCAGTAAATCTTAAATGTATCCTATCTACAACAAATATTAACAAAGTGAAAATGTATACTTACTTCTGCAGCCAATATACTGTCAAGATTGAAATCAATTCTTGGGTTAACTGCTGCAAGTCTCATTGATAACAACTGAAACAAAAGAAACATTGACCAGAATAAGATAGTAGCATTTTATTGTCACATTATAATCAGAAATTATTGAAGCTTGCCAAATTATCTTGCAACTTTTTCCAACCAGAGGAAGTTCTGTCATACACGATCTGTATCCATGGGTAGAGTGCGGCGAAAAAATGGATGCTATTTTCTTTTTAACAGACCAAATGGTACAGGAGACATCCAAAGAAATCACCAAATCAAATGGTCCAGAATTATCATGCAACATCTTTATTACTGTACCACTGCAACTCACAAGGTGCAGAAACACCCCCTTTACTTGAATGAACCATTATTCACAAATCCCAAACCAGGCTAAAAATCACCCATCTAAAATGGAAGTAGAACTTTCCTCAAATTCAAGACTTTTAAGTATTCTTATAAAATTAGAAAAAAGAAAAGTAAAGTTAATGCCTCAGATTGCAAGTCTGACCTCCACTTGGCTTTGTAGCGACTGTACATGGTTGATGATCTCATCCAATACCAATGCTGTACCAGAAATCTACAAAGGAAGAAAACCTTCTAAATCAACTTATAATTAAAAGCATATGCCGGGCATAGTTAATATTCAAAAGCTCTCAACAGAAAGACATCAGCAGAAAATCTTTCTTAACTAATCATACAAATGAAAAGGAATAGTTTGTGTCTGTAAAGGTTTCTCCATTGATAGTAATACAATAAGCCAGCTCCTTGTGTGACCAAAGATTCATTTTCAATTTAGTATTTGATATGAACATCACTCTTCAAAATTTCCCATGCTGGTCCACTTGGTATAACAGTTAATACTTAATCCAAATTTAAGAATGGCCAAAACTAGACCTCAATAACTGGATATCCGTTCATTGGACAAAATTTTTTGACAGCCTTACACTGGTGTAAGTTTCATGAAATTAAAGCTTCACTTTGTGTGTGCATGCATACATGCGTGAATGTGTGTGTGTGAGAGAAAAAGAGACCTTAAAGGAATATAAATATCAAACCCAAATTTCCAACCAAACCATAATTCTGACATATCCAGAATTTTACTCTCAGACTGGATACCATAAATGGTTATTAAAAATTGTTTAGGTACATCCAAAGTAAATCATAATATTTTTCCGATTGAAGAGACAACTCATGTTGAGCATTGAAAGGAAAGCCTCTAAGAATTCCTCCTAAATTAAGACCCAGTGTGGTTGCACTGCAATTCAAATAAATTCAGGTAGCCACCAAACAAATTTGAAGCCTCATATGCAGCAAGTAGCCAACTGAGTTGTATGTGCTCAAACTATCATGTAAATGCATAACCAATGCAATTTGAACTACATACCAATTAATATCAATAATATGCATAAATTACACCTGCATACATTTAAATGTTTGTGAAATTATTTAGAGGTCCCAAAAAGGAAATAACTTCAGTCTTAGCTTTGATCACTTTTGCAGAATTTAATAAATGAAAATTACACGCCTGTCTCTCTGTGAATTTCCTTGCTATAATGAGCTAAAAGGACATTGTGAAGGCAACCATCAGATTTGTGTTTGCACTCAGTTACATTAATCTGTTGATCAATGAGAACATTTGAAGTTAGGTCTATGAATTTGGCATATGAATTTGTTAGGGCCAATCTCATTTTGCCTCAACCTTTTTTTGTCATCATCAAATATGGATACCAAACTTGTAAGAGAAGCGTACTAAGCACCTTTCCAGTTGAGATCATAGTTTTCCTGTCTATGCGATGGGCCCCCAAACATTTGATTAACACAGACAGAATAACAAATGTTCCAAGGCACATCCAGCTAGCATTTCCCCACCAAAAATTTTAATGGGATTAGGCCATGAAGGGTATTCTTGCCATTTTACAGTAAAGCCTTAATTTCAAGCTTCCAATGCTTTATTCTTTCAGATAATTTCCAGTCCAAAAGTCAATGGATAGATAATTATAATATTTAATTAAAATTAAAAGGAAAAAATGTTACAAAAATAGCAGCATCTGCAGGAAAAAAAAGAGTCATTAAAGAGCTAGTCATAAACAATAACCAAGTATAAGAATGGTGATTGTGTCAAGGCACTACTACTACCTACCATGTGCGGTTTTATGGGTTAAAACCAACCTCAATTTAGCTTTGTAAGTTTTTGAAAAATAACTTCTAAATGAAATTTTGAGAAAAATGTTTTTCTTAGAAAATATTTTCTAAATAACTCATATTCTGTGAGCTGATTGCAACATTGAAAAATAGTTAAAAAGCATTAAAATTCTTAATTTAGACAACTATATAAACGTTTAAAATCAGAAAAACTTCATATTTATAAAATTTTATTTTAAATTAGAAAAAAACACATAAAAGTAGTAAATTGCGGTAGTTGCCAGCAACCAACTGTACTAGCTGGTGGTAGCCAATGACCAGTGTTTAATGACAGTAGTTGACAATAATGACTACAGGTAATCTGTGGATTAACAAGTGTGTGTTTATAAACTTCTTCCTTTGTTATAATAATATCAAAGTACAAAAAATACATTTCTCTCTTTAAAGTGAATTTTATTATTTTTAAAATGGCTTAATTTTCCTTTAATCATAAGAAAAATCCTCTGATGACTAATAATTTTTCCTAAGTATCTCAAGGATAAGAAAATACTTTCCATTTTCTGAAAACATACGGAGCTTTAAATTGCAATTAAGCTGGTTTTTATTTTAAGCCAATTTTAGTGGATTCCCCAATACCAAAATCACCAAGGGCAGTACTTTATTAAAAAGAAGAAGCAGTAACCTCAAATGACAAAACTGTCCTCAAAAAAGACCAATCAAACTAAAACAAAGTATCTCCATCAAAAGGCGAAAAAAGAAACTGCAAAGACAATGAAATTACAAAACTGCCACCCACCAGACACCTCCGCTCGCTCAAGACTTTTCTTGGTAGAAAAGCAAGAGCCACTTTCATGAAAAAGAAGATGGTGACAGAACCGTTAATTAACCCACATAATCCAAAAATGTAATTGCAACCTTTTAATGATAATTTTGGACAGATACCCACTATAATCTAACCCCTAAAGATCTCAATCCAATGATTAATTAATCAATTACCTAAATGACAACTAACCTTGTTGCAGCCTGGGACCAGTTCTTGAAGTAGCTTCATCCTTGCATTGATCTTCTCCCTCCTCGCCTGACAGTGACCCAAAATCAATGTCACAATCAGCTTTAATTCTTATAATTACTCATTATAAAGGTTAATTAACTATTAATTAAGTTGTTAATTATGGGATTATGAGATTACTCTCTCTGCTAGGCTATGGCTATCTGTGGCTTGACCACGACGAGCTCGAACATGAACATAAGGAAGCTTCTCTGCATCTTCAGAGTTCTCATTTGCAGAATTTTTACTCTTCTTTGTTGAGCCTTTGCCCTACAATATCCTCAATTTAAGAGATCAATTAGTAAAATAATAATTTAAGGTTGCTTGAAAGGGGGAAAACGTTGAAACCCTAATTTTGACTACCTTCTTTTCTCGCTCCTTCCTCTTCACTGTTCTCTGGTTCTGCGCCCCGTTGACCATCCTCGTTGGATCAGAAACCAACGGTGGTGATGGATTCAGGTATGATTCGGCCTCCGCGGGTTCACTCTTAACGACTTTCTCGAGATTTGCACTTGAATTTGACGGTACTGAGCTTGTCTCCGGCGAGTTATTGCTAATATTGTTCAAATTCTCGCCAGCGAAAACCGAGAATCTCGCGGCTCGCTCTATCAAACCACTGTTAGTAGGAAAAGTCAAATTTGCAGCATTGAAGTGTGGCTGTAGATACTGCTTCTGGTGATGGCAGTCGATAACCGGTCGGGTTCTGAGACTCGAATCGGGCGAGTGGAGAAGCTCCATGGCTTGAGTGGCCGGCAATTCGAGAAGAGCAGTGAAAGAGCTAGCATTTTCCGGCGGCGCAGTGATTAAGTGTTGAATATCTTCACCAAATTGAAGAGAATCGAGTCCAGTCTCGTCCGGTTCGGGTCCCGTGGGGCTGGATCCAGGTACAGGTCGAATGAGTGGATCCATAACCGGAGCAAAACTAGTTGAAAAGGGCACAAAATTCAATCAAACCGAGTGATAGAAAACAAAATTGGAACTGGGTTTCCAAAAGGGCAGTTGAAGTGGAAGGAGAAGTGGGGTGAGATGTTTAAGCTTTAGAAGAGGTTCTTCAATGGCTGTCAAATGATTCTGTTTTGCTGTAGTTGCTGTGCGTTTTCGCTTGCTGTATATGTGTATGTTTATTTGTGCGTTGGTTTCTCTCTATAAAGAGACTACTTATCAACCATTTGAAGTACATGGAAAGCAACGTCTATGTCTGTGGGGGAGGCTGGCTGTTTAATTATACGGGAATTTTTGAGAGAGAGGAAGAAGACTTGCCATGTACTGTTCCTCTTGCAGAGTTTGTTTGTTGAGATGAAAGGGAACGGGGAAAAGGTCGTTTGGGACCCACCCGAAAAATTTTTTACAGAGAATCAACAACTATCTCTATGAGGTCAAAAGTGAAAATAAAATAAAAGAGAACTTAGGATTAAAAAAAGAAAGAAATATATATCAAAAGTGAAAATAAGAATAAAAGAGAACTTAGGATTAAAAAAAGAAAGAAATATATATATAATATATATAATATATATATATATATATATATATTATATATATATTCAGAAAATGTACTGTAATAATACAGATAATAATACATGTGTTTGCTCTTTCCCTGATTGAGTTGTCGTTGCTTCTCTTTTGTAAAAAGTTTTGGTTTTGTTTTCTACATTAATAATAGTTGATGGGTTTCTTGGAGAATGATTTGATTTGTAAAAAGTTAAAATTATGGTACCACTAAGCTTTTCTTAATTTATATTATTTTTTCTCCAACTTATAAATATAAATGTAAAATACAATTTAGATAAATAATATATATATATATATGTATATTATCTTAAATAACACTGCTTATTAAGTACAAATTTTATATGAAATTTTAAATAATAATTAATATATAATGTATTTATTAATTAATTTATCTAATTTGTAGTCATTGTTTTCCAATATGTAATTCATGACTTAATTTTTATATTAAGGTTAATTTCATCTAGTAATTTGTATTTGTATTGAAGTAATCCAAAACTTTGATTTTTGTGCTTTTGTAAAATTCTATTATCATGTAAAGTTACAATCAATTGGTTTTAAAGTACTGTAACCTAAATTATTTCATATAAATCTAGTGATATGTAAACTTTATATTCGATAAAGATTTCAAAATTTTAGATTGAAAGTAGATAATTCTCTTAAAGGCTAAAAAGAGAGAGAATAAAATTTAAAATAAAAAAATCATGCCAACAAAAGTTCTGTACTAGTGCAGAAATTTTGGATTCTGCACTGAAGCAAAATCCTTAAACTAAAGTTTATTTTTAATTTTAAAGTAGAAAATAATTATGTTAAGTAACAACTAGAATGAAATTTACTCAAAAAAAAAAAAAAAAAAGAATGAAATAAATATTTTAAATCTGACCCTTTTCTCCAAGGATTTTGTAAGTTACCTACTCCAGTATTATTGCCACCTTCCTCTCAATGCACGACTTGGTAGAAGCAACTTCCTTAATCCTTAGTAAGGACTCTTGTTTTGGATTCCATCACCCAAACAAGACTCTAAATAAACATTCATTTCAATTTGGAAATTCTTATATATATATACATAATCATAATCTTGTTGTTATATTTGTAAAAGGTAACTACTTCATTTTTCATTTTGAAAAATGACTTTTTTTTAATTTATTAGAGGTTTTTATGAGCAGAAATAACACTATGGACTACACAATAGATAATCTTCCTCTTGTCTCACCAAATTGATAAAGCTAACCAAATTGATAAAACTAATTGAACAAGGTAATTCTTTTTTTAGTTCACCAAATTAATGAAAATAACTGTAGTCGAAAGGACCCGAATTCGAAACTTTCGACTCCTCACACAAGTGAAATGACTAACAATATCACTGCTTGATTGGCTAAAAAATGACTAGTTTATCTTCATCTTTTCTACCATTATATATTATTGTCCTTCTATTCAAAAAAATACATTTTTATTGTTAAAGTGTTCTTAAAAAAAAAAAAAAAGAAATATCCTTAAACTCTACTCAGGTTCAAATCTCTATCATTCTTATCACTGAAGCCTACCGTTGTTACTCAACCCCCTAGCATTGCAACCTTCATCTCCACTAATGGCAGCTCAAGCTTTTGTCGTAACCTCTTTGAGGGATAAAATGGTTGAAAAATACAGAAGGATTAGGGGTGTTTATGTCATTACAAGACACTTAAAAACAAATTTTAATTTTTTTTTTACATATAAGGATAATAGTGTATAACGAGAGAAAATATGGGATAAAGTAGTTTATTTTTCAAAAAACATAGACAAAGCAGTAACTTCTAACAAATTATGAAAAAAAAATATTATATTTTTTCCAAATATTATCAACAACAATATATATATGTGTGTGTGTGTGTATGGGGCTTGTAGACACCACCTCAGTTTCCAAATTATCGGTTTTTCAGTTCAGTTTTAATTTGAAAATAGAATTAAATATTTCTTCCAATTTTTTTTTTTAAATTTATTTAGAAAGAATTGAGGGAAGTAATCTACATTTTAAATATTCATATTTATGCGATAGATAAAAAAAAAAAAATGTTAGAATTTTCTCGAAGTCAATTTTAAAAAGGATACTCGATTTCAAAAAGAGATTAAAGTTAGATGCATCAAATCTATCTCTCTAGAAGGAAAATCTTCTAATTACTCTTAACAAAGAGAAAACACAGCAATTGTATATAAATTTGCACACTAAGCCGAATATCCTTTATGCCAATAAGACTGGCATCTTTCAATCATGGAGAATAGTACAAGAATTAGGAATGTGAGGAAAAATGTCAAAGTGTGTGAGCCTAAAAAATCATTTTGATCTTGGTTAGACTTTTTTTTATTACATAATTATATTACATAATTGATAATATTGTTTGGTTAGACTTTTTTTTTTTAACACTGTAATATAATTGAGATTACATATGTAATTTTTATTACTTAAATTGATATAATATTCATTATATAAAAATATATATGTAAAGCCAGTTACATTCCTCAAAGCTCATACCTGTTATTAACCACTATCACTACCACCACCTCCACCACTACAACCATATTATTATTATTATTATTATTATTTATTATTATTATTATTATTTTGTGGGTGGTGGTGTGGTGATAGAATGGTGGTGATTGTTTGTAGTAGCGGTATTATAATTACATTTCATATTTACAAATAAATATAAAAATGGAATGATAATGTATTTCATAAATTTTTTTCAATTATATTTCATTACATTATATTTTTAATTGCATTATATTATATTACATCCAACCAAACATAACCTTAGCAAATTACGAGGAGTTAGAATTAATAAGAAGAAGAATTATGGTTTTATAAAAAACAAGGAAAAATTCTGCAATTGAAAGATGGTTAGTGGAAACTTACTCATTTATCTAATTCTTGTATGAAGATAATAATGAACTAATGGGTCAAACCACTGGTATCTAGAACTAAATAAGTTTACTTAAAATCATACAATTTTCTTTAAAAAATTATAACAAAATAAAAATAAATTGATAATTTTATTAATAATCTTCAATTTTATAATTCTTTCTTCTTTTTCACGGTTTCAAATTGAAATCGTTAATTTCACACAAATTATCTGTTTTAATTCTAAAAAATGAAGAATCTAAACTGAAACGTAAACATATAGTTTCAGTTATAATTTAAAAGAGAGAATTGTTAGCCACGGTTTGGTTATAGTTTTATTGATTCAATTTCATTTTTCTTCTTATTGATAACTAAACCGTAATCATCTCTAGTTACTTGAAAACCCGGTTAGTGAGACGCGGGACAAAGCTAATTTAATTTAGTTTTCAAATAATATTGCTACATGAAATATGTATATTTAAATATTTTAATTGTTTTTCTAGAAAAATTTAAATACATCTTTAACGTCCTAATTATAAGAGTAAAATATTTGTATTGCAGAAATACTATTAGCATAATGAAATGATGTTTCATGACATCAATCTAGTTGTGATTAATAAAGTAAAATTTGGCATAATTATTTTCCAAATAAAGAAATAAAAAGTACTAATAATGAAAAAATGATGAAACCTAAACAGTAAACCACTAAATTACATGTTAATAATACCGTAATCCATACTTAATTACAATCATAATATTATCAATCAGTATAAATTAAATAAATTATACTCCTTTTTAGTATCAACTACTTTTCTATTGACAATTCCATTTCAACAAGTTTAGTATTTCGAAAACCGGACCACATGTATTAAACCGCAAATGCAACAAACCGAGCCGTTGAATGTACGGACCGTGGGCCGCAAGTAACTCTTCCTTCGGGGACCGGACGCGAACCAAGGCCCGACACAGTTTTTATTAGTTGAAGATGACTTGTCCGTTTCTTGTATTTATACTCAAAACAAAAGAAATAATAATATTGTTTTTCATTTTTTTTTCCTCTCTAGTTCCTTTTGTCCATATTTATAGAAAACCTAAATTAATTACCATATAATCAATCTAAAAGGCATCTAGTTCAGCCGTTTGATATAGTTGATTCATACCTTAACGGTGCGAGATTGTAGGATATGTTTGGTAAGCTTTTTAATGAGTTCATAGTTGATAAAAGTCCTAATCAAAATCTGATTTCATCAATTATGTTTTAGAATTTTTTTATATGGATTATTAGGTAATCTGTATTTATATTATATTTTTTTAAACTTTATTGAAAGTTTTTATTGGCCGAAATAACAATATGGGCTACACAACATGGGATAGCCATTCTCTTGGCTCTCCAACTTGATGAAAACAATTATAGTCGAGAGGATTTTCGAACGTGAGACCTCTCACTCACATAAGTGAGTGGTATATTGATTGCTTTAATAGCCAATCCAAAATTTCTAGTTATCAATTTTGTGTAAATCATACTACTTTTTTTTTTTTTTTTTTTTTTTTTTTTTTTTGAATTATAATCATATTACCATTGAAAGCTTGGGTTCAGAGTAATATTGATTGACATTTTCAGTACTGAAATTAGTATTTATATTTTCAATTATTAAAAAAAGATAAAGGCTGACTTTGAGAAATGGTTAATTGTCATATTTTTTTTTTTTTTTTTTTTACTGGTTTTAAGTCTAAATTTAGCCTAATTTGATCATGTGACTTATTCTTTTTCTAAATCTAAATTTGTGAAAGATTTTAAAAGTCTATCTGCCTAAATATTTGATATATTGTTTCTAATATTTCAATTATATTATAAATAATTCTTATTTAATTATAGTTTTTTAATTCTTTTATTTCAATTAGAGAATAGAAGTATATTTGACCCTTTAATTATAA